GTCTCTAATTGCTAGTTTTTATGATTGTATCTGAAATTGTTAGGCGAAAATAGCCTGCATGCCGAATTTCAGATCTCTAGAGCAATTAGAAGTGGTCTAATTTTCGTTGTCAATGTTAACAACAAACAAACAAACGCGAAGCTGAGTAACGAGAAACGTGTTAATATATCTTATTAAATGGCACGCACAATATTTTGGGATAATTTTTCAAGTTTCTGTTATCTTGACACGTTGGTGGAAGCTACAAAATGACAGAGGTGGGCAGTAGCGCGCTACATGTAGCGGTAGCTGTAGCGGCGCTTCATTTAAGCAATTGTAGCGGTAGTGGTAGCGCCCGCTACATATTTAAGTAGCGATAAGAGGTNCATTGTCTCTGACTTTATGCAATTGTGCAAAATTTCAGATCGATTGGACAGGTAAAATTGTGTCATATATGGATTATAAGATTTGTAGCAGACAAAATTATTTATAATTTTTTTAATGAATTTTTTTAATTTATAAAATTATTTATTCTGTCAATTGATTAGTGCATTGTCTCCAACTTTACGCAAGAGTGTAAAATTTCAGATCGATTGGACAGGTAGAAGTGTGTCAAATATCGATAATAAGATTTGTAGCTGACAAAATTACTTTTAATTTTGTAATATTGAAAATTTTTTTAATAATAAAATCATTTATTCTGTCAAGTGATTCATGCATTGTCTTCAACTTTTTGCAAGTGTGCCAAATTTCAGATCGATTGGGCAGATAGAAGTGTGTTAAATATCGATTATAAGATTTGTAGCAGACAGACAGACAGACAGACAAACAAACAAGAAGTGAAGTTAAAGAGAAGTGTTGTAAAATAGAATGCTATGCTAATTTGAATAGCCTTCCTGTGTATGCCAAAATAAAGTAAGAAACTTCTCATGCCGCTTGAGTTTTAACAGTGTTACGATAGTCCTTATATATGCAGCCCATATTTTGGTTTTTACAAATGTATTATGATTCATTGGCATACGACACGTTTCAAGTGGCCGAAGGCAAAGTTCGAAAATCGTTAAAGCCATTGACAATTTCACTCTCGGTAAGGGAAAAGAAATGCAGTAATGTGCATATTCAAGCGATAATATTAAGGATGTTGAGTCTGTTGAGCTGTTCCAGGCTAAACTACGGAGGTTTATGTAGACCTACAGCAAATGAATAGAATGAAAGAACTCTACTTAGAAATCTTCAGGAAGTCTGTTGCTGGGAAAGGATCGCTGAAATGTCACTCTAATACAGGTAGATTGATGAAACGTTCCTAGAATAGAAGGGCCCAAACATTACTAGAAAATAATTGTCGTTACATAGCTAGAAAATGATTGCTGAAATATCGCTGAAAAATAATTCCTGAAACGTAGCTAAAATATGATTGCTGAAACGTCGCATGAGAAAAATTGCTAAAACGTTGAAATGAAGCATCAAGTGCTCAAAAGTTACATGAACGAATTAGCAAACTTTCACTGAAAAAGAATAGCTAAAACTTTTTCTCAAGTTTTGGAAAAACTTTCGTGGTCTGTAAATCAAGCAAGAAAAGCAACAACGCACAAGGAGCTGCATCAAGTAAACAGTGAATTTTGAAAGAATATCAACACAAAAAAATTCCGCGTCGAAAAAAATTTTGAGTGTAACCGAGCCACTAAGTTTAGAATTTAGTAAAACCTTCAAAAATGAAGAAAATAACCAGCTCCCATCATTACGCTCACATATAGAAAAAATTATCCAAACCGAGGAAAAATATTAAATGTATGGAATAAAAAATTTGAACAGAGGCTGCATCCTACTGTCAGCTCTTTGTCACTCCTTTAATTTTTACTAAAAATAATTTGTAATAGTCACAAATACATTTTTTACATCGAGAAAAATATTTTGTAACATACTTATTTTGCGGAATAGGCACTGATTCATCTCCCGAATACATATGTAAAGAAGCAAGGGCAAAAAGTTGATGTTCGAAGAGGTTCATTTTGTTGCCTGATGTCATTGCATGTTCTTCCAGACTGCACATTGTTGAGGTAGTGGCTGATGGGTGGGAAATGGTATACTCTTATGATCATTTTCAAGTGAACATATCGTCGTAATAAAGAACTAATGCGTCACGTCTTGTAGCAAGTTGTAATGCGGTCCGGCTCCGACTAGTGTTGTCAGCTCTATGCAATAGCCGGTACGAAAGGGCCTGTTGTTTCTGTTATGTTATATTGTTCCGTGTTGCGTTTATAAGTATTTTACATTAGTTGGTGTGTTTCCAGGTAACTGGGCATTTATTCAGTAAAGCTTGGATTGCCCAGGTTTATTCGATCATTGATCCCTCAATATATAATAATAATAGTGGTTTCAGCGTTATTAGGCCGTAGGCCTGTCGCGGATTCTTAACATAATATAACATAACATAGTGATGTCGGCGCTGAAGTGTAGGCCTAATGTGGCTTGTCGCCGATTCTTTTCCTTTTCGTGCCTTGTTCACAGAAGATCTAAACTCGTGTCATTTGACCGGATCTTTTCATGACTGGCGATAGTTTGACGTAGCTACTAGACTCCCACCGGGTTCGATAAGGAGCTAGGCATTTCAAATCTGAACATATATTTTTCCATTGCTTTATCTAGTCTGTTCTTGAACGCGTTCATACTTGGAGCACCAAATATGTCATCGGGGAGGCTGTTCCACATGTCGGTGCATGATTCGAAGCGAGAAGAAATTTTGTCGCGTGGAGAAGTTGCAGCGCAATTTTTTTTAGCTTATAGCCGTGGCCCCTGGTGTTGGTTCTTGTTCGCAGAACATCGCAGAACATTCACAGTATTTTGCGGTCTCGAACTCGCAACTCACTGCTACAATTCTGCTGTGCTTAACCGCCCGGCCTCCTTGCCGATTCTCACCAGAAACTGGCGTACAGAGCTGGGATTGAACCCGCGCCTCTCTACGCCAATCTTGGTACTTTGAACTTTAACCACTGGGATTATCATATCATAGTTATGTCGGCGCTGAAGAATAGGCCAGATATGGCCTGTCGCCGATTCTTGTACTTATCGTGACTTGTTCACAGGAGATCTGAATACAGGTCATTTGACTGGATCTTCGAAATTGACGATAGCTTGAAATTGCTACTAGACTTTCACTGGGTTCGACAAGGTGCTAAGCATTCCAAGTATGAACGTATATTTTTCCATGGCTTTATCTAGTCAGGGTGGCCTAGTGGTTGAAGTTCAGAGTACTAGGATTGGAGCAGAGAGGTGCGGGTTCACGTCCCGGACAAATTTACGGCCGGACTCGCGGCCAGTGTCACCAAATTCAGTGAGCATGGAATGTCTCCCAAAGTAATCAGCGTAGCTCGATGAAACTTGGTGCGGTGATGTTTAGCTCGTGAAATTTTTGTAAATTTCGCCTTCATTCGTGAGTTATATGACGATTCGTGCCGAAATTTGCAGTGAACATGACATTTCTCCTAAACTACTTTTCAGATTTGAACGAAACTTTCAATATAGGAACCTAACCTCCTAACGGTAATGTTTAGCTCGTGACAATTTTTTAGATTTTGCCTTCGTTTGCGAGTTTTTTTTTCAGGTTTCCCACATTCGTGATTTAAACAGCAATGCGTACTTATATTCGCAGTGAGCATAAATTTTTTCCTAAATTACTGAACAGATTTGAACGAAAATTACCGGCCGCAAGTCTGGCCGTAAATTTGCCCAATACGTCGCGGGATCCCAGCTCAGCGCGGCAGTTTCTGGTCAGAATCGGCAAGGAGGCCGGGCGGTTAATCAAAGCAAAATTGAAGCAGTGAGTTGCACGTTCGAGACCTCAACAAGCTGTGAATATTCTGCAATGTTAAGAATCGGCGACAGGCCTACGGCCTAATAAACGCTGAAACCGCTATATATATTATATTAATCTGTTCTCGAACGCCCAAAATTTCATCGTAAGAAAAATAAGTTTTTTTTTCATGCTGGCAAGCAAGCTACAGCCTAGGCATGATTATTTCCTTAAATGTGATTGTTAAAAAATAATGACAACTGGCCACTTTAGTTTCGGAGTTTAATTTTTCGGAAACCGGAAAATCTATGAGTTATCCGGCAGGACCATAAATAAACACCGTAACTCCGTGAGACGGTGTGCGGTGACCGGGTGACTGACAGCAGTGTGCTGCTGGAGTGTCCCAACAGTCTCGTCACTCGCGTGTCTTTTCGTCACGAAATGGATCATGTGATATTTTTGGCCCAAGAAAGACTAGAAGCGCTTCAGGTGAGATTATAATTTACTGCTTATTTAAACTTTTGGTTTGAGCTTAGTAGGTCATAGCAGCCTTTACCCTTTAGCAGGTACCTAGCTCGTCGAGACTTTTTATTTTCACAGTGGAGAGCTCATTACAAGATAGCAAAATTCCTACTGCCTAAATATAATATAGGTATATGATGATATTGCTGAAATCTCACAGCTCCAAAGTTGAAGCTGGAATACAAGACATAATTTTACAAAAATCAGAAGTAACAATTATTTATCATTGGGGCGGATTAATACCAGGTTTCATACAGTGGCAATAGTCGTTGGAATTTCAGCGACTTTTGCTAAAGTTATCGACCAATTTTTTTTACTTTACAACGACTTTCGAGCTAAAATAATAGGTCATTTATCTTTTTCAACGACTGCCAACTAATAAACTCTTCCACAATAAACTTATGACGACTGCCAACAAGCAACTTAAATCCAACGTCTCAACTTAATCATCTATTAATTTATTTACGACTTGAAATCAGCGAATACAAGTATACTTAAGGGATTCCTAATATATTCATAGACGTATTTAAAAGTCTCAAACCATAATATTCTTCCTATAAAAACAGTTATTCACTATTTGGTAGAGCAATGTCAACTGTCATATTTGACACATTTTTCGATGATCTCACCACGTGGCATGCATTTTCTCTCTTTGGATCTCAATATTTTCCCACTAGATGGCCAAGACCTAGTGTTTTTGCAGTATTTCGGCATGCAAATGTATGACGTCACCATTTCAACCATCAATGAACGCATGGAACTAAAACAAAGCTTAATATAAAGGAAAAGCTGGAGAGGTGACGGAATTACCTACGATGTCGGAATAAACTGCGTTTACCCTACATCAATACAACACGGCTTTGAATTAGAACACTAATGAATATTGAACACTACTTAATTACGCTTTTAATTAACAACTATTAAGCTTTTAATTAAGAAAATTTTAATTTTTATACATAGCTTGGAACGATCTGTGTGTGTCCAATTCAAGTTGTGACGGAACTAGTTTTCATGTGTCTAAATCCATTTCTCAACTTAATCATCTATAAATTTATTTACCACTTGAAATCAGTGAATACAAGTATACTTAAAGGATTCCTAATATATTCACAGATGTATTTAAAAGTCTCAAACCATAATATTCTTCCTATACAAACAGTTATTCACTATTTGGTAGAGCAAGGTCAACTGTCAAATTTGACACATTTTTCGATGATCTCACTGGGTAGTGTGCATTGTCTCTCTTTTGATCTCAATATTTTCCCGCTAGATGGCCAAGACCTAGTGTTTTGGCAGTAGTTCAACGCGCAAATGTATGACGTCACCATTTCAACCATCAACAAACGCATGGAACTAAAACAAAGCTTAACATAAAGGAAAAACTAGGGAGGTGACGGAATTTCCCTCAATGTCAGAAAATACCACGTTTACCCTAGTTGCTTGCAAAGTTGCACAAATAGGTATATAATTTTTCTTATTTTTATTTGAAAAAGTTGGAGAGGACAGAAAGGCTGGAGAACAGGGTATAATTCATAGTGGCAGAGCAGAGAGTCTTTTTAGACTCTTCCTAAAGTTAATTTTTTAAGTCCTATAAGTATACCAGTAAACAATCATAGAAAGTTGTAAACCAGCATTATGATACATAAGAAATGGGTTTAAATTTTTGGTAAATGAGAAAATTAAAAATTAACTGATTCTAAAAAAATCTGTGGCTTGTCAGTTGTCACTATGGACTCATCATAGCTATTTAGCTATAGGCTATAGCCTAGGTACCTATGCAAACAAATTTTTTTTAATTATGAAAAAGTCCCTGATACTTGATGGGAACAAATTTTACATTTTCATAAGTATTATTGATATAGAACAAAGAAAAACATCCTACAGTTTTTTATTTCTATCAAAATTGAAGTTGGTCTAGAAAGTATAACTAGGAGGGTTAGCCTTTTAAGCAGGCAGCAGCCCATTGCCATTGCCACCTTGTTTCCCTTGAAAAAAAAAAACAGGTTTAATCTTTAAAGACTAGAAATCGTGTAAGTTGGTGTCAAATAATTGACGAAAACGTATTCTTGTTGCAGTAAATATCATTTTGGTTTAAAATATTTATAAAAATTGCATGTTATTTTATTAAAGGGATCAAACTAATTCCTGGTGCAAAATACAGCGGCACTATTGTCTTTTACATTGCTCATCAGATCTGAGATATTTTGCAGTTTGCCCTGTGGCTTCTCACAGAGCCATAAAATTTGGAGATTATGCATTAAAAACTAGTTTCTTATTGAAGTTTGAAGTTTTTTTTAATATTCAAGATAAAAAAAAAACACTTTTCTTGAAGCAATTTGTAAAAACATTTGCTAAATGCCACCAAGCAGTTAAACAAAAGAAAATTATCTATGAAAAAGATAACATAGTTATAATTTGATATTCATTTATTTGTTTCTAAACACAAGTGTCATTTGCACATACCTAATAGGTAAAATTAACTGCATTTATGGACATTTTATTCACTTCTCTTTTATGTATGGCTTTTGCCTGATTTTGCAGTTTGGTCCAAAGTGACATATCATCAACTTTGGAATTTTATGGAATAAAGCCTGATGCTGTACTCCTATTTTATAAATTGAAGTGAAACAATGCCATAGGAGCCAATCCAACCAGTCTGAAGGTTTATGGTGCTCAGAAATACCTACTAAAAATGCATGAATATTAAGGTATTTTTCATTAAAATATGAGCCAAATACTCCTAACTGATCTTAAAAGTACTCTTTTTCCAGGAGTCTTACCACTTCTGCAAATAGCTGGTACATTTTGCCTCATCCAAGAAGGAAGAATAGTGTAATTCTGAGTAATAGACAAAAAAATAATCAATTTGTAATCAGCTATTCATTTAGCAAAAGTTTTAGTGCAAAACCTTTTTTAATCTCCAGGTACTTGGCAGTTCATCTTCAGCGGCAGCTGCTGCACGACTAGCATCAATCCGTGAGGCAGCTAGGGCTTCTCTCAACCAAAGCTGGGACTCATTAGGCTCAACTTACACATCTTTGCATGTAATTATGCCATGATCTAGTTACAAAAAAAAGTATTCAGTTTAGATTTGCACTACCTACGCAGGCTACGCTATCACCTTTGTTGATTTATCTCATGACATGTATGCATTTTATGATGAGATCAAAATGTTTTCAACAGCTCAGTTGAAGAGACCTTCATCTAAATTTTGTTACAAGTAATGAGCAATCCATTTATTGCTGGCAGTTGCTCCTTGAAATGAACATAGTGATTGTTAATTCAATATGCAATTAATGTTGTTGGTGTTAATTGTCCCCATTTTTTCTCAGAAATGGTAAATTATTTTGGTTTGCATGACAACAGGATCGCTTGACATCATCTAGCCCATACGATCGACTCACAAATGCCCTGGCCAGCTCCCGCGCCGCTCTACGCAACTTCAGACCTCGAGAAGTTTATGATCGCTGCCTTGTTTTCTTTGTTCATGAGGGTAAGTGGTCAAGTTTTCCCCTCCTTGCAAGAAAGGGTTTAAATTCACCACCAAACTCATCTATGCCTACATGGATGCACATCTAAGTATATTTCTGATACGGTAGTGCTGTTTTTACAGGATTTTGTAGAGCCACTGAGATATAGTTGTTGATGTTAAAATTAATTCTTTATTTTAAGCACTGATCATAACTTTTAAATAAGTATTTGTTATTCATATTTTCAAAAAACTTGTGTCTATTCTTATTTCTGTTTGTTAACACTAATTTTTTTCTTAAAGTTTCTATACATATATTGCTGCAACTCCTTTTGGAACGAATTCTCACAACTTTTTCCATGCTAACAACCATTCATTTTCCATACTGCTGTGATATTTTAGCTGAGACTGAAGACCAGATAACAACCATTCAATTTGTAGCTGTAGATATTAGGCCAAGGCTAGATGTACAAGAATTTAAATATGCATCTCTATTCAGTTACCAGAACTCATGTGTACCTGTGTGCCGCCTGCTTTCTGGTGGGGGGCTTTATGGGTCTCGTGGTGGGGCTACACGTGCATAACAGCGTCGCTGCTCCCCAGCGCATGCGAGCCGTGGTCGTCAACAGCTATGGTGGACTTGAGGTCCTGATCCATGCAACTCATTGCTATATTCACTAATATGTCATGTCTCATATGCCATCAAAAGGACTCTTCTGGACTTCATTGATAAAATAAATCTGCAACAACCACTGAGTAGGAAAAGTTGACAGGATTGATTCAAGATTCATAGAACAAACTCGACTGTCAAACATGAAATGACTAAAGGATAAAAAGCAGAATAATCTGAAATGCCATTAAATGGGCCATGTTGTTTGATGCTCCCCAAAATATCAGAATGGGACTTGTGTAATCAAATAATTGCAACTATTGAAGGCAACATTAAAGGCTTGGTTCTGTTGAATTATTATTGTATTGTCTATGCTTGGCTGTTGTCAAAGCATATACTTTTTAATGTAAAAGTTTGTGGCAAATATTCGACCAGGAAAATTCAGCTCGGGTAAATTATTTTTTGCTGCTGTTATGCTTATTTGTGATGTCCACTGGTCATATCAATTTTAAATGTGATATCTTAACAATCTTGCTGAAGGTTATTTTGTCTGCATTTGTATACAATGGTGATTATCACTGGCAATGTTATGATACTGGGAGGAAATCGTCTGTCTTTGTAGCATTTTAATTTATTTTTCTCTTGTAAAATGATTTTCAGTAGTGGTTTTTTCTTCATTAGAACTTTTTCTGAATCCCTGTATTGAAGACATTGTTATTTACAATATTCAATACATATCTAACTTTTTCATTTAATTTTTATAACTTATAAGCTGCAATTGTGACACATGTTCTCATTCTTAATTGGCCAAGTTATCGTTTATGTTTGTACACAATTTCCATAGCTATGATCACCACATGCCATCACAGTATTTGAAGCACCGTTTATGTTGGTGCACGATGTCACTTAGGAACTATGATGACCGCAGGCCATCACGGTAGTGGAAGACGTTCCAGCTCCACAGTTGACAGCCCGTGACCAGCTGCTGGTGCAGGTGAAGGCAGCTGGTCTTGATCACCTGGACATCCAGGTGGCCCAGGGGTACGGACGTGGCACCAGGAGGCATTTAAACAAGTACAATCCTGTAAGGGGTCATCCTAGCACTGTATGACTGTATGTTGCTTTGAGTAAAATACTGTGAGGGGACATCCTGGTTGGCTGTACTTTGTATTGAGTACGTCTTGATATATGTAATAATGAGAGCAAACAATACCAGAGACTCGCAATGTATTCATGTTCAGTCCTGTTCTATTCATGCATGTCTTCACTATCCTCAATGAATGCATGACATGGCGGAATGTTTCTCCTCACACTTAAAGTACAATGCTGTGTTTTATGTGCGTAATTTACAAGTTTGTTTATGCTATTTGGTTTCGTCACAAGTCACAACACGGATGTCGTTGCAGAACTGGAGCGGCGACTTCCCTGTGGTGCTCGGCCGCGACTGCTCAGGTGTCGTGGTCGCCATTGGAGCAGATGTGGACGACTTCAGTGTTGGTGATGAGGTGCGTGTGTGATGTGTGTTGCCTGTTTGATGTGCTGCCTCTTGTGCTAAGTGCTGCTGCTCCATGTTGTGTGCCGTGTTCAGGAACTAAGTACTGTCAACTGGTGTGACTTCGGCCACCACTACAACCGAAACAAATGGCTGCAAAACAAAATAATAAACGTTGGCCAAAGTCACCCCGATGGCCAAAGTCACCCGTCACATTGGTCGATGTTTATTATTTTGTTTTGCTGTCATTTGTTTCTGTTGCAGGTGTGGCCGAAGTCACCCCCGGTGGCCGGTCACCCCAATTGACGATACCGGTATATACAATACGCATAAGACCCTTACACTAATATACTGTAGGTGTATGGTGTCTTACCACACGTATATATTGTATCCTACCAGACGTGTACATTGTACCCTACAATGTATATTGTACCTTACTACGCTTAATGTGTACATTGTACCCTACAATGTATATTGTACCTTACTACGCTTATTGTACTCTGTTCAGGAGACACACAAGCCCGTTATTACCCTCAGGTCACCCACATTCCCCACTCATTACCCCCCTCCCTCCGCAGGTGTGGCTGGTCGTGCCCCTGCACCACCAAGGAACGCTCAGCGAGTACCTGGTCGTGACGTCATCACTCGCCTGCCACAAACCGCAGCAGCTGACGATGGAGGCGGCCGCTGCCTTGCCTCTCAGCCTCGTCAGAGCCTGGGGAGCCCTGCAGCAGTGTCAGCTCCCGCAGCGCCAGCAGGCACAAGGCAAGAGGTGCGCGAAGGGACGAGAATGTTACTTGACTAATACGTGGAAGACGTTTGCATGGGTAATCAACATCAAGGAGGTGTATCATTTGTGTTCTAAGGATGACACGCAGTCAGTGATGAAAGCAGAAAATTCTACTTTATAATGCCAATAATAGCAGGAAAATTTTCAAATCCGAATTGTCAGCAGCAGTAATCCGCACTCCATGGTAAGGGCCCTTATGCTCGTGACGCAGGTTCCTTGTGTACGGGGGCGTGAGTGGCGTGGGCTTGGTGCTGGTGCAGCTGATATGCGCGTGGGGCGGCCATGTCACCACCACCGTCACCTCGTCTCACCACGCCGAGCTGGCGACCATGCTTGGGGCGCATGACGTCATAGCTTGTGACGTGGCGCCGCTAGACAAGGAGCTCGAGCTCAGGGATAAGTGAGTGGTGCTTATGACCCTTATGTTGCACCTCGTATTTATTTGTGCTTTACTGTTTGAATGAATTGGATAAATAATTAATTTGACTTACGCCGCACTGTTAAAAATCATCTTATCCACTGATTTTAATTATCGCCCTCCAAGTTAGTGACAACTTCGATTGCCATTCGGTTTTATTTGAAACGACGTTTAATCAACGTTATTACAACGTTTAACGTCTGGTGGGCTGGTATATTTTAGTTTCATTTATTTACCTTCAGTAAAGTCAGGACGTTAATACTTCATCATGGGTTGAAACCGATCCTTGATGTCAGGTTCGACTTCATCATTAACCCTGCTGGCCCAGGCCTGCACGAAGCTTCCAAGAAATACTGCCATCCTGACGGCAGAGTTGTGAGCATAGCTCTGCCCCCTCTGCCTGCTGACGATCTGGGGGTCGTGCTGGGGGCCTTCTACTCCCTCTACTCCAGGCTGCGTTTCCTCGTCTGTAAAGTAAGCAATGACGTGTTGATCATGTGGACGTAGGAAACGCCCTTTATTGTGAACAAGCTTACCTTCGTATTGTTTTCAGACGCAATGATTGCGCTTATAAACAATTTTTGTTGGTTCGCAGGTTATAGTCTGCCGCTTTTTATACGTTAGAGCAGTGGTTCCCAAACTTTTTCAGCCTGGCGACCCCTTTCGCTCCCCAGCGAATCTCTAGCGCCCTCCTCCCGACAGACACATACAAAACAAACGCCCCTTTCTTGATGATAAGTACGCTACAATTTTAAAAGAGAAAGATTAAACACAAATGTGTATTTCACTAATAAAGCCTCATTTAGTGAACCAATATATTTTTTTACAGTTTTAACTGTTTCAGCACTAGAAATTCAAGACGGCTCGGACAAATTTACGGCCGGATTCGTGGCTGGTCTCGCAGCCGGTTTCACGGCCAATCTCCAAATTCAGTGAACAAGTAATATCTCCCAAACTAATGAACGCAGCTCGATAAAACTTGGAACATATATATTCATTAGGACCTAACGGTGATGTTTAGCTCGTGAAAAAATTTTAAATTTCACCTTCATTCGGGAGTTATATGGCGATATGGGACGAAAATCACAGTGATCAAAGAATTTATTTCAAACTACTGGACAGATTCGAACGAAATTTTGAATATAAATTCCCAACTACCAAACGGTGATTTTTAGCTCGTGAAAATTTATTCGATTCGGAGTCATGTTCTACACGTGTTGTGTACAAATCGTCAAACAAACGTACGAACTTCTGACTTCGACTTCGCTGACTGCCTCCCCCTACTGCCATTTTCTTTCTCACCGCCTCCCCCCAGATCCTTCCACCGCCCACAGGGGGGCGATATTGCCCACTTTGGAAACCATTGCGTTAGATTCAACGCATAGACAGTGTCTAGACCAGTGGTTCCCAAAGTGGGCGAATCTTTCCATCGCCCCCCTAGGGGCGATGGAAAGATTTTGGGGGGGCGGTAAAGAAGAAGAGGGCGATAGGGGGGCGATAGAGGGGGCGGCAGTCCGAAGTCGAAGTCAAGAGTTCGAACGTTTGTTTGACGATTTGTACACAACACGTGCAGCACATGACTCCCAGCGATGGTTTTTTCACCCAGATCTGTTTTTAGCTCATTTTCTCATTTATGGAAAAAATGCACTATTGTGCTCGCGATGTCCGTCCGTCTGTCCGCCTGTCTGTCCGTCCGTGACTTCACGTTTTCGTCAACGAGAAAATGCGCTCTCTGTCACTCACTGCAGTGAGTACTGAGTTATATTTTTTTAACCTCTCCTGGGTTTACTTCTCCGACCAATTAACGGCCGGACTCGCGGCCGGTCTCACGGCCAATTTCCAAATTCAGTGATCAAGGAATATCTCTCAAACTAATGAACTTAACTCGATGAAACTCGGTACACGCATTCATTAGGACCTTACGGTAATTTAAAGCTCGTGAAAATTTTTTGAATTTTGCCTTCAATTGTTTTTGCCAGAGTTATATGGCGATACGGGCCGAAATTCACATTGATCAAGGAATTCTTTCCAAACTACTGAACAGATTCGAACGAAATTTTGAATTTACAGTCCTAACTACCGAACGGTGATGTTTAGCTCCTGAAAATTTTTTCGATTGTGCCTTCGTTCGCGAGTTTCATTCGTGATTTAAACAGCAATACGTGCTTAAATTCGCGGTAATCAAGAAATTCCTTCCAAAACTACTGAATGGATTTGAACGAAACTTGGTATTTAAATACCTAACCTTAACAACGGTGATGTTTAGCTCGCTACAATTTTTTCGTTTTGCCTTCGTTTGCGAGTTATACGACTATACGTATACAGATATACGTAAACGGCTCTTGGTTAAACCGGCCGGTAGAAAAGCCGGTTGTTCCTCCTATATCTGTATAACTCGCGAACGAAAGCAAAATAAAAAAATTGTCGCGAGCTAAACATCACCGTTGAAAGGTTAGGTATTTATATACAAAGTTTCGTTGAAATCTGTTCTGCAGTTTAGAAGATATTTCTTGATCGCCGCGAATTTAAGCGACAAATTATCCAGCGATACGGGCCGAATATAAGGAAGTGTGAAATCAAGAATGACTGTGAAATGAAAAAAAAAACTCGCAAACGAAGGTAAAATAAAAAATTTTTAAAAGTCATAAAAATCAACGCCTAGTAGTTAGGAATCATCATTGAGATCATCCTTGAATTCGAGATCATCCTTGATCTCGAATAAAATTCAAAATTTCGTTCAAATATGTTCAGTAGTTTAGAAGAAATTCTTTGATCACTGCGAGTTTCGGCCTTTATCGCAATATAACTCACGAATGAAGGCGAAATTTAAAAATTTTTACGAGCTCAAAATCAACGTTAGGTTCTGATGAATATATGTTTCAAGTTTCCTTGTGCTGCGTTCATTAGTTTGGGAGATATTACTTGATAATTGAATTTGGAGATTGGTCGTGCGACCGGCCACGCGTCCGGCCGTGAATTCGCCCGAGACGTCCTAGGTTTCTAGTGCTGAAACAGTTAAAACAGCTGAAAAACATATTGGTTCACTAAATGGGGTTCTATTTATGAAATACACATTTGTGTTTAACATTTATCTATTAAAATTGCAGCGTACTAAATTTCAAGAAAGTGGCGTATTTTTAATATGTGTCTGTGGGGGGGCGCTAGAAGTTCACTAGGGAGCCAAAGGGGGCGCCAGCCTGAAAAAGTTTGGGAACCACTGGTCTAGACAACGCTAGAATTAATGTTTTCCAAATTGCTACCTGAATTTTATCATCGTTGTAGTATTTTTTCCATATTTTACTAACAGTTTATTGGTTGTTAAGAATGAGTTATGAAGAAGTTTGAAGGGAAAAACGTTTTTACCCTAATTGTTCAAAAAATGTTATGAATTCCTGCGGTAACAGCTTGGCTTATTCTCTGTTGCTTTGCAGTCCCGCTGGTTGGAAGGCTCCTGGTACGGCTCCGTGCCAACGGAGAGCGGGCTAATCCTGCGGCAGATTTCCCCATTGGTGGAGGAGGGCAAACTGCGCGCCGTCGTCGACAAAGCATTCAACTGCCAGGACGCTGAGCTCGCCTTCGCGCATGTCGACTCGACGCAGCAAGTCGGCAGGACCGTCGTGAGGTTCAGGTCAGCCAAAAAGTTCCTGGCAGGACCGTCGGGAGGTTCAGGTCAGCCAAAAAGTTCCTGGCACGACCGTCGGGAGGTTCAGGTCAGCCAAAAAGTTCCTGGCACGACCGTCGAGAGGTTCAGGTCAGCCAAAAGTTGGTGGCAGGACCGTCGTGAGGTTCAGGTTACATAAAAATTTATTAACGCCTTCGGTTATCAGGTGAGTTGAGATTTCCCCGATTTCCTGATTGGAATTGATATTGCACCCTGCCTCGTGCATCAGCATTTTTCATCTATAGTTATTCATTTATGTATTGTGAGTGGCTGTATTCTATTACTGTAGCTGACGATTATATCATGTCGCTAAATTCGTTCACGAATTGATAAGCTCACAACGAAGCATTTGACCTGGAGCATTTTGAAATGAATCTTTATTTCATCTATTTTCTTGGGTGAAATTAATTATAGTTTCATCTGTCCATCTCAAAAAGTAACTTTTAGGGTTTTAGTGAAAATTTTCTATGTTGAAAAATATATTAGTAATATGAATATATTAATGAAATAATAATAATATATAGAATTCTTTATTGTGTTCTACCTGTTTCTTTTGTTAAACAATAACACGCATGTAATTGATTAGCTCTTAAACTAAATATTTAAAGTGCAGGCTGATGTGAGCCAAACACTATGTCGAGATCTTCTGAAACTTTATCCATGACATTAAAATTTTGTATTGTCCCTCAGTGCCTCTACCCCTTCACGCGCTCTTCAAATGGCTTTGTGTGAGTTTTTAGTGACTAACTGGTGTGTTCCTTCGCTTTTTATATTAACATTCGTTATATCAAAAATAATAATATTACATTCGTTTGGATTTAAATTCTTTTTTCTTCTTCTTTTGATAATTTGAAGACATGACCTGATGTTTATATAACATTAGCTGATCTAAACTTGAGTGTCAGCTAGAATGGCTCTACACCGCTGTCGAGCAACCATTGTTTGAAATAAACTTCTTAATTTTCATCGGACTTACATGAATATGGGACGATTTTTGTAGGAGGATATTACAGTGTTGGTAGATAAAAAAAGTTGTAATTCATTCATCATTCAAATACATAGTATCCATAAAATATTTTTCGATGTTCCTTTTTCCAGGGCAAGACCGCTGACATCTCGTTACCAATTAACCTGAACTGCTTGACGTGCCAAATCAGCTGCTCGCTTTACTCCGACCTTGCAGCCTCACCACCATCACCTCGACCAACATCACCTCCATGGATTCCATTGTTTTGGTCACTATTAAACTTCTGCTGCTACCTGCTCAAATTATTGGGAGAACTGAGAATGCATGTTTGAAAACGTGTTTTTACCTTTCATGTTCGTATCAGTGCCTGAAGGCAGAATAATCGAGCGGTGCAAGATTCTATATCGCATGACAGTGAATTTTATTTTTACTTATTTCCAATATACTGGATCGTGTTAAAATTTATAGGAGTTTTACGAATTTGAAACTGGAAGTTTGCTGATTTTAATTGTTATTTCCTCTACACACCAACAGACTGTATTATTGTTGATTTATTTGTTGTTGATGAGCAAGTTTGTTCATTCTTCAGGAATACTCATGTTGCGAGACCAGCGCATACTTGGGTTTGTTGTGGAGAAGCTGTAAAGTTTCAACTGCCATTCGATTGTGTACACTAGAAACGAGAAAAAATGTGTTACTGTATTAGATAATTCTAGTGCGTGTATATTAATTGCAAAACTAATCCATTTTTTGTTGATGCATTATTTCAGAATGTGATGTTACCAGACGATATCCTAACAATGTTTGTGCCAGACGATATCCTAGGATTTATGTTAATGCCATTATTTTGGTTGAAGGTTTACCTGCATTATCGTGACCAGTTGAGTTTTAGGCATCAAATCAGGGTAATAATTGTGCTTTGTTTATGCTTGCCGCGAATTTTGTAGAGAGAAATTGCTAAATTCAAACATTTCAAGTGGACTTCAGTTCTATTTCGTCATGGGTCTCGCATAAGGCAATAAGTGCGTTTTTCTATTGTTAACTTGAATAGTGAGTAAATGAAGGGAGTATACAACTTATCAGACTGAATATATCCAATAGAAATATGTCCTGCATTGCAATAATGTTTCAGATCACTTCCCTCTGGGATCTAGAGTTTTCTGTGTAAACATAAAAACTCAAATTATTTTGTATGAAGTAGACAATAATATTACAACATTTTAGATCATTGAAGCTGATTTTAGAATGAAAATTATTAGGTGGAAAAATTCGAATGAACTGGAGCGAACGAAATATTTGCAAATAAGTAGCTTACGTAATCTCGTGTGTAGTTGTTTTATTAGACCGAGTTTTACTGTTCAATGTTCATGCCATGCATCGCTCTCGTGCTTCATGTTGAGAATAGGTTACCAGATATTGAATGAAGTTTAACCCGACGATATGCAGTAGAGAGATTATCCTTATATCCCTTATATCAATGTGCCCATCAAGCTTATATCAACCTGTACGTTGCCCATCACTGTCGAATGTTCCTTAATGTTGATGAATAAAGTACAATAATTGAGCAGTACAAGCTGCTGCACTGGCTGCGGCCTAAAGCGCCCAGACCAACTTTGGTCTTGGGTTGAGTCTCAAAGAAAATGTCATGATGAAATATGTAATAATGATGCGAGAATTATTTTCATAGCGAAAAGTATAGTGAAATATGTATAATGATGCGCAAATTACTTTCTGAAAACCTCATGAACTGGAGAAACGAAGCATATTTTCAATGCCTTGTACTAGTCAGTGATGTACTTATTGTTTTGTTGTTCTTACTCCTCGGTTAAGAAGCGAGACTTAGATGAGTATTTTAAACTTGTTTATGTTCACAATAATTTCGACGTACGTAATGAAAATATGTTCGATTTTATTGACATTTTCTGCTGTTGAATACGTGGATAATTTGCCATTCTGCTAATCGGGTTATCTTAAATGGTCTTGAATTAAATGTTTGGATTATAGTTTATGTTTGTAACGTAGTGTGTTGCTGCGTTAAGCTCCTTCCGAAGCCCTTACGTTTAAAGCCATTCGCTAAGGCGAAACGTCATACGAAATGTGTCTACGGTATGACTTTTTTTCGATCGTCCTGTACATAATATGTATTTATTCGGGTGACAAAGAGTACTTGTATTGCAATATTGCAGATTACTTTCACATATTTCCAATAAGCGCCACTCATGAATAAGACCATATATGAAGGCATTTCAGATTATTATTTATTCGATCTTGTCACCTGAAAGGAAGTTATGTTCGTTGAGGATTCGCACAGTTCGGTGTGCCCGCATGTGACGTGCCTTGCCAATCATTTCAGTCTTACCAATCACTTTCTGTTGTGATAACGATTTTTTTCAGTCGCGTACAACCCAAATTTTACCGACCGTATCGCTGAACGAGGATGCAACCGAGAAATATTTATTATGAGAAATAAATTATTTTAAGAATTTTTTTTTCATTTTCCATGTCCAAAAGCTTTTATAAGTCATCCAGAGTTAAAGGTTCCTAAGTTAGAAATTTCTTTTTAGATGAAAGATCTTTGTTTTGGAAGTGTGGAGGCTCTTATTTAATTTGGTCTCTAGCTGGACTGAGTCACAATGCTTATGTATCGTTGTCGTGGGTATAGTGACAGATAAAAGATGAATAAAATGATAATGAATCTTATAACAAATAGCCGATAAATATAAGACATCAAAATATAAATAAACCGTGCGTTTTTTTACCTCATTTTCTACTTTCGGATTAGAGATTCGGAGCCTTTCCGTATTGTAAAGCCAGACCCAATTTAGGACAATACCAATTGGCTAAACACTGAATATGGTGCCAAACACTACCCACATGAATAAAGAACATGTAGACAATTATTCAAGCACCACTCAAATTACACGCACATTATAATCACATATATTATCAGAACTAATGCAACCATGGCCCTCTGTGGTGGAGCACGCAACAATGACAAATAAGGAAATATTCGTTGACGAAGTCATATCGGTGGTGAATCAAAACTAAAATAACAAATTTCGCGCAATCCCTAACATCGTAGTAAGTAGTAACTATTCTGTTTCAGTCGCCTAATGAAGTCAACAAAAAATATAACTCAGTACTCACTGCAGTGAGTGACAGAGAGCGCATTTTCTCGTCGACGAAAACTTGAGGTCACGGACAGACAGACAGACGGACATGGCGAGCACAATAGTGCATTTTTTCCATAAATGAGAAAATGCGCTAAAAATAGGTGAATATGTAACATTTCATGCCTATGAGCTTAAATATATATTTGTACAATTAATTGCTTTCGTGACTACTGCTGTTTTTTCTACTGCTTCTCTCTTACGTTGTCTGAAGACTTACTGTAGCTTGCATCCCTAGAAGCAGTGCATACAAACGCACAACCACAGAGCTTGCGATGCTTGACGGTGGGTCTCAGTTGAGGGGTTAAGTAGTTGAGTAGGCCTATCACTTATAAGTTTAAGTAGGCAGGTCAATTGAGGGGTTAAGTAGTTGAGTAGGCCTATCACTTGTGGGGTTAAGTAGGCAGGTAAGTGCATTGGATAAGATATATAAGAAGGCAGGTCATTACAGCGGGAACAGTTGTGAGATTATTCACTGAATTTTCCCCCTCCTCCTCTTGTACAGTGACCGACGTCTCACTTGCGCGTTATCTTTAGCTGGCGTCTTAGTTTCAGTTGGTTCATACTCTTGCTCATCTCATTACAGGACAACCCTGCTTCTTCCCTATAGCTCGGGCTCGTTAGCCAGTTATATTAACCCATGAGTGATAGTCTGATAGATAATTTTTGATTTGAGAATATATCTGCCACCACAATCAATGGTGTACGAAATGTTACGGTTTTCAGTGCGAGATTGTGGGCATTGATAAATGTTTAACTGTTCCGGGTGCTCGAGTGCGATCAACCGTAAACGAACAAAACAAACGCATTTTCCCTAGTAGAGCATAACAATTTTTAACCAGTATGCCGTAATCTCAATAGTCATTTATGTTTCTTACGGTGTGTTATGGCGAGCTAACGAATTACTCAGTGCTGCTTAAATGAGATCCAAAGCGCTTTTCTCCAACTAAGACCGAAAACTTTTTCTTTATGATGATGGAACAGTCTTTTATTTAAAAAATATAACTCAGTACTCACAGCAGTGAGTGACAGAGAGCGCATTTTCTAGTCGACGAAAACTTGAGGTCTCGGACGGACAGACAGACAGACGGACATGGCGAGCACAGTAGTGCATTTTTTCCATAAATGAGAAAATGCGCTAAAAAGGTAATTTTAGCTGAAAAAATTGATACAAGAGAAACTACCTCACATAACTTTATGATACCTGGCATATAAACAGGAAATTCACTAGCTTGACAAGGTATTAAAAGTTCTTGTCGTATCCACCCATCCAGTCCGGGGACTTGACTAAACATTCAAACTGCCTGGAAAGCTGACATGAAATTCACCAACAGTATGTTTCATTCGAACGTGTGTCGAACCATTTCATACACGTTTCTTGCGCCTCAATATAAGGCTTGTTCGGCATGAGAGCATACTTGTCCAGAGATGACAAAAGATTTCTGACTTTTTCAATGTCCTGTAAAGAGCTCGATCCATTTGCTATGTTTTTGTGAGCTTCATTATAGAGCTTCCAGGCATGGGCGATTTCCTCGTTTGCAGAAGTCGCATCGTACGCGATGAGTGACTGATCCTTGTGCGAATTTTTCTTCCCTTTCTTTCCTTGATTTTTCTTCTTGTTACCAGAACTTACTTTATGTCCCAAGTTGCACATCCTACATCTACCAGAAGCCGGTTCGACGGCACCGGAACACTTGCAGCATCTTAGGCTGAACTTCATCGCCAAGTCTTTAAATAATGGCCAGTTATGAACACACGCTATACAACTGCACTTAAAATGATACGTTTCTGCCAAGCTTTTGATGCGATTTTCCTTAGTGTGACTTGCAAATCTTTCTCCATAGCTCATGGTGATTTCTTCTCCTTTCTTTATGCTGCTGATGGAGTAGAGGATTTTACGTATCCCAGTGCTGGACTGGTGGGCGTTTGCATTGCAGGAGTGGTTGAGGAGACTCAATTTTTGGTATAGCCCGTAACCAACATCAAAATATTGCTGCTCTCCTTGTGATTCGTTATTCATCTTAAGTTCTTTAATACAATGAGCATTGCATTGCACTTTGAGATAAATTGTCATGATATGTGAACCTAACGTTACTAAATCCTCGACTTCAAGCGAAACAGGGTCAATGTAGTTTTCCTTCGTCCTCCAAAACTCAGAACAGTTTTGGAAAATTTTCAATAAAATAAGCGCGGCTACCGCGGCGTCAAGCTTTTCTTCTCGTCTGCGGGCTGTGAGATTTCCCTCAAGTGAAAACAAAAATCTGCAGTCCATTTCTCCAACATCAAGAAGCTTTTCGAGCGAGTCGGTGTCATTTTGGCCGAGGACTCCTTTGTTCGTATTATCTTTTGAATCTTTGCTGGCGTTGGCTGGAGAGTCCAATGGACCACTTTTGCTGAATTTAATTTCCTTGACATATTTGGAGAAGTTTTCCCAGCCCAGAGCGGTAAATGTTCTGAAGGCTAATCCAGCATCGAGGTCAGGTTGCAGCGCCACGAGCATCGGCAGCAGGGAGCACTCAGCAGGATGACCTCCCTTGGCTCCTGCTGCGGCGTCGCGGCAGGCGAGGCTGCAGTACACGGCCTTGCACGGTCAAACCACAAATTAACTCATTTATTCATTTACTAATATAATTTAATAGGTCAATCCCTTCTATCATTAGGCCTCACGTAATAATAACAACAATTACACATATTCTTTCCAGCGAGTACCAAATTAACCACAATCTCGTATATTATAGAAGTTAGCCCTACATTTTTGTTACAATCCCTTATTTTCACTTATCTAACCATATTCGAATGTGAATTTTAGGTAATTAAGTATACGATTGGCTAAATATCATTACAAAATCCTATTCGAATTTTAACCAGAAGATAGCGTCCCAGTCGGTGGTTTGACCATCAATCGGAATGTCAGCCAGAGCTTATGGCTTAGTTTGAAACACGCTCTACTGTAACAAATCTTAAGATTTTTAATAATTTTTCAACGCGGTAGATGTGGTTTTAATCTGTGAAACGGAGAGTTCAATTCAGGTTTCGTATCATGGGACCAATCTCTTTCCATTCGGAGTACTCGCATAAAAAATGCTATAAGTGACAGAATAATCATTGTATTAATGAAGAAATAAATACATGAACTTACGTTGAATAACTTGTACAGAGAGCAATATACGACGAATTTAATGCTTACGAGCGAGCAGGTGGGACAGGGCGTGGGGACATGGGCGCTGACCAGGCAGTAGCTGCAGTACGAGCGCAGGTTGCTGTTCAGACGAACGAGGGACACGTGACTCGCTTCAACCATCAGAACTTCACCTAGAAAAAAAAAACAGGAATAATTCAATTAGTTGGAATAGGAAGATTTATGAAATAATCTTTACAAATTCTGGAATTCTCACTAGCAACAATATAAAATTTATCATTAGTCATCAAATCATGATATTTTTCAATAAAAACATAATATCCAGACTTAGTAGCATTATCTTTTGTTTTGTTTTAGAGTTGTTAAGAATTATTTTAACTGTTATACTACTTCGTCCAGAATTTTTCCCAGTATAAGGTCACTTCAATTTTACTTCTGAATTCGAAATTTCAACTTGTATCTCAAGATTAAAATAAACTTGAAGAAGAAGTTTTTGCAAAGATTATAAATATTATTAAATACTTTTAATACCTGGAGGAATGTCCCTACGAGCCACGAGGTGCCTCCCTTTTGCAGCCGAGAACTGGACGCTGACGCACGAGTTCACTGAGCCTCGGTCGCCTCTGGTGCTTGGCATTAGCGCTGATAATGCATCATCTGTTTGATCCTCAATTATTGATTTTATTCCAATATTGCACAGCGGACGTCGATTATTCGTTATATCGGTACAAACTTTACCAGTCGTTGTAGAAATGTCATTGGTGTGCGCTTCAGTGTCATCAACCTTCTTTGGAGTATTGCACTTGGCAACGAGCTTCCGCAAACCCGATTTGAAATCTTTAGCCTCTTTACTATCAAGTGAAAAATTGTCTATCTTTTCATAAAGCAAATTAGCAATGGCGTGAGCTTCGTTGAATTTTCCCAGTCCAATTAGACATTTTATTCGCCTCTCACATAATTTGTGTTGTTTTCCGTATCCGTACATTAGCGCAGCGTTGATATCTTTTAGTGCTTCGGTGAATTTTTTCATTTCGTACAAAAGAGCTGACCGGTTGGCATACGCGAATGATAGATGAGAATATTCATCGTTTCCATATTTGCTTATGAAGGGAATTTCAGTAAAATCCTGTGAAGTTTCTGGTAGATATGTTTCAGGATGAGGGGCTGAGATCACTGCGTAATTATACGCCTCTAAAGCCTTCACTAGTTTTTGATCCCGGTATAGCCTATTGCCTTGGTTCCTGAACGCGTCTGATAGCCGAGCATCTTTCTTGTTGGTCGACAATCCAACGTTAGGCAGCTCGATTTGGTCTTTGAGATTAGAAGCCCACAAATATCGGAAAATATCCGTGAATGAAGAGTTTTCTAAAATTGATGCAAAATTGTCCCTTTCTGCGTTCAAAATTAAATTTTCCTTCAGTTTTTTGTTGATGCTTTTCAGTGTAGGAGGCATGATTGAGACTTGAGCTTCAATTGACGAGCCTGACTTGTCTTTCCTCTATTCAAAAGTCTTAGCGCTGAAACGCTCCTCTGCGACGCAGACTGCAGTCAGTCTTGGGCTGAAAAGATAAACAACAGTGCTGCCAAAATACTTTTTAATCCTTAAATAAAAGTTGCCTTTTAATTTGTTGCACATTTTAGTAAGTGGTGCCTTGTATTTTGTGTCGCGTACATTTTGTCGCGTACATACATACGTACATTTTTTATAATTAAGCACGATTAACGTTTCTTTTGAATGCTATAAACGTACTTGACATCTCTGCATCAGTTGTCTTGTCGTGTTCTATACACAATCCCCAACTGCTGTTGCCCAGAAAAATGTATGGGTACAAATAGCGACAATATACGAAATAAGTAGAAATAATATACGAAATAAGTAGAAATGTACGCCCTTTTGTCGGCCAAACTGAGTCATGCAGGATCACCTACACAAGCGCAAAAAGTGCATCGTTATTCGGAAACATCTCACTCATTTATTTCAGTGTGAAAACCGTTGCGAGATCTGCCAGCCACGCCGCGTCTCGCCGCTGAGCTTCCGCGTTCGACGCACCGATCAAGCTTGCGCACGTCGGAGGTTTTGCACCGCAGCCGACGCAATGAAGCTAAACTTGAGCTTTTCCAAAATGTTTTTTAATAAACCATATCAATATTTAATTTTAATACAACGTTACGTTTCTTACGTGCAATCTACGATGTATCTGTAAATTTTGAAATAATATGGTTATAAAATCTTCAATAATTCTACTTTTTGTTATTGCGGAGAAGATTGAAAGATTGCGAATAAACGTTAATAATTAAGCTTGAACGGGCTCAAATAGTGCTTCAGGAGTACGTGAATGTCAACAATTTATCACCGAACGGTATCATTCTTTTTATGGCAAGTTGTCTACTAATTACGAGTATCAATACCATTAGAAATTCGAATATTTCGTGACTCGTTCCGTGGAATACAACTAGACATTCAAATACAACGCTATTTTTCCCCTTGAAATATCTGCAAGAAGCTTGGCAAAAGATGAGTGCTCAGCTGCGAGACGCGATTTAAAAATAGTGAACGCGGCATGGGTCTGGCAGCGATCCCAGCGTCGCTTCTGCCCTTGGCTTCAGCTACAATCCTTGCAAGCACAAATTACATTATTCATTATTCTTTTTGAGATACGCATTATTTAAGTTCCCTACGTTATCAGTTTACATCATCTGCTGATATAAAAAAAGCTATTTTCTACAGTTTGATTGATGTTGAACACAGTTTCAAAAAGGGGTAATCATTGAATTTCGTTATTCAGCTTCTAACTTGGCTACAGAAGGAACAGATTTCCAAAAAAAATCAAAACTCACAAAGTTGTGAGCAAAAGTTTGCCTATGTAGGGTTAATCGAAATTTGCATGGAACAATTCCCCGAGACCGAGTTGTAGTTTTCATTTGATAGATGATTAATTAATTAATATATAAGATTCAATTGTCAATTCATTTGATATTAGATTCGGCCTCTGATAAATCAAAAGAATTCTTGCTGTAAAATTTACGTCTCGGATTGCGTTTCAATATATCTTACCTTACTTGTGAAGATCAGCAGGCGTGAAGGTAATGCATGAGCAGATTCATAAATAACCTAGTAAATAAATTTATGATGAAATAAAACCTTCGAACAACGCTTGTCTGATAGGCTCCTCGAACAAGGTGTACCGTACAGAATCTTCACTAAAACAAAGAACTAAAAAAAGTGCTATGTATGCATATAAAATCATGTACACAATGACGTAGTAAAAAAATTCCATTGAACTTCGTCGTTTCGTCTGAAAATAAAAACGAGAGTGAAAGTTGAAATGACTATAGCACTTCAAGTTTTTTCGCCCTTTAGAGAAATTGCCATAACATTTTTTGGCTCTGGAATGGAATCCACCATCACACACTGTGATATATTGGTCATCATTCTCGATTCAGCTTGAAAACTTAATAATTTAGGTAGAAGATGTTAACCTTTTCAAATATTTGTAGAAGATGTAGTGAACCTTCTCGGATCTTTCTTTTGCTTTGATGGTAATATTTCTCGAGTACCACGCAAATTTCCTTAATTAAACACCATTAATAATCTATTAGATCGGTTGATATCTCAACTGGAGATTGAGACTCGCACATCGCGAGCTGACGTACGGACCACGACTGCACCACACGCCTGTACGCGGACGAGTGAGGCGCGTGCAATTTTTATATGCGAGTTGAAAACGGCGGAACGTTTTCTTCTGCCATAGAAAACTTGAAATTAAACTTGAACGCTCCGGTTTTCCCGCACTGACCTCAGAGGCTCAAAAAGCATTGAAAGTGAAAGTAATAACGAGAAACAGGGTTGCCTGATGTCCTAGAAACCGACCTAGTACACGAATAAATAAGGCCAAAAGGCCTATAACTCAATATATGTATACTAGTATATTTGTAGGTTCCGTAATAAAAATTCCATTTATTTTTTTCAATTTAATTAGGAAGTACCCCTATCATAAATTTTAGCCGGCCCAACGCAATTAAAAAAAACTAAATCGCGAAATTTATCCGAAAAAAAAGACCGTCTGGAAACCCTGAGGAGAAATGTTACCAAATATTTTCTGATGAATGTGCGTATGGCTTTTCAGTCTAATAAATTAATATTTTAAACCTGAAATCGTCATGAGATGTTCAGGCTGCCATCCTTTCAAGTTTGTAATATCCAATTCAATAATGGAAATATCGAGTTTATCACCAATTGCTAATGCCGAAATACGGATATGGCATTTTCCTTTTGTTTTTACAAATACAATAACCATCGTCTATGTAATTTATCTGGCCTCAGCAAGCTTACAATAAAAAAGTTTACTGAATCCATTAGAATATATAAGAAAAATTCACAAACCAAAAATGTTGATAAATTTTCACATTAACAGCGCCAATTTAGCAGATCACACAGTGAAAAATGGGCCGATCGCCTCTCGCGCCGAGTGTGTAAATGTGAAATAATCCCGAAAATGTCTCCTGCTTTATCACTTCTCATCCTACGCTCTAGAATACGAAGAGAAAAATAAGGTGTTAAAAATGTTCTCAGGTATCTTCATGAAATTTGAGTATCACTGCGTGCACACACTTTTTACTGAAACAAAGAAATCACCAAAAATTTTTCGCTGTTAACTTCAGAGCCAACGTTTATTGTGCGCTTATCTTCGTGCATGCAGCGCTATGATGATTTTTTAATTAATGCATGGTTGCGACCAACAAGTGATTACCCATTGACCTCGTGAGAAAATGAATGCAGTTGTACCTTATAGAACATTTAGGATGAAGTCAAACAATATATATGATTAGTGGTCTTTAATTATATCATTACATCTTAATCACTATCATTTAATCTCACTATTTCAAAAAATTCCGGAGTCAACAAGGCTACACATATTTCAATTCATACTGGTACGTAGTGGTACAAATTCATGTAAAGAACAGCAAACAATGTAATTCTCTTAAGATCTGTATGAGCATTTATCGTTCAAACGTATGAACAGTGAACATATACATTAGTGCAAACAATTATGGGGATCTAATCAGAAACACCTATTTACAAGAAAAACGTAATCTAAAATTAAATTACGAACTAGTCTTTTCTAAAATTACTTAAACATTTGTTAAGTGGAACTTGTAACGAGGTTTATACTAGATTTCCAAATAAGCGGGTTAAAAATATTCAGAAAAGTTTAAAAATAAAATTTACATTATTTTCATAAGTTTCTTTAGGAGTACTAAAGTCATCTTAAACGTTATTTTCCGTTTTAATAACTTCAAGATGGTCTGGATTCGAATGGTTCCGTAACTATAGACTCAAGAATTGCTTTTAGGCTGGCTTCGTGATCTCCAAATTCATTTCCATCAGTTCTCGTTTCTTTTTCTTGGAAGTCTATTAAATCAACGTCGGCTGCTTTTTTGCTGTTTTCAGGCAGTTTATTTTCTATCACTTCATCCTGATCCAATGAACCTTCCTGTGTCCGTAGAGCTGCATTAGACACCTTCATCTCTTCATGATACAGCGAACCTTCTTGCATCCATGGAGCTGTATTGGACGATTCCACTTCGTCCTGATCAATCGAACCTTCTTGTGTCAGTTCAACTGCATTAGACATCTCTACTTCTTCCTGATCCAACAAACCATCTTGCGTCCGCGGACCTGTGCTAGATGCGCTCACTTCTTGTTGATCCAGTGAACCTTCTTGCGTCCGTGGAGCTGTACCAGTTGCACTCACTTCTTGCTGAACCAGTGAACCTTCTTGCGTCTTTTGGTCTGTATTATGCGTCGTCACATCTTCCTCATGTTGCAAATTTGCATGTGAAGACTGAGCATCAGACATACTTATGATACTCAATTCTCTTTGTTCGTGCAATTTTTCTTGCTGGATCCCATCATAAGATTCATTTCTTGGAGGTGCGGTGATAAAAATCGGATGAACATCAGAAGCAGAAAGGTCGAGATCTTGCCAGGTCGTTGGAACTGAAGTGGGCAAGCTTTGTCTAAGTCCCTCAATGAAGTGAAAAGGTGGAGGCGGGTGCGTCGGTAGCTCGTTTCTATGCGTACTTTTTCTGTGCGACAAATTTGAATTCTGGTCGGACAGATCGAAAAATGACAAATAAGAGGCATTCGTGCTCCCATCTGATGATGCCAATGGACGTTTTAGTGTGTATGATGGTACATCGTCAGTGGGAAAATCGTCATATTCTTCAAGTGCAACGTGAAGAAATGAATCCTTATCTTTAAAGTAATCATAGCTCTCAAAATCTGGCTCATCATAATCATGAACTTCTGCTGTGACTGAATCATTTAACCCATTCTCAACATGCGAGGCAACTGTGCCAGACGTGTTGCTATCTGTGGAGGAAGATATTGATGTGTTGGGTAAAGGAGTGTTGGGCGTGACATCAACACTTGCTTGTGTGCTTAACTTAGCGTCGGGTGCCAGACTTACCGTCATGTTCTGCGAACTTCTGCTAGAGTCTGATCGAAAGATTCTTACCTTTGAGTGACCTTCAATGATTGTGAAAGGTGAGTCATCTTTGATTGCAGGTTTTGTTGTCGTGGTCTCCGCTGATTTAGTGTAGATGATCTCAAACTCTGACTTCAGAGGCTCAGAGTTCTTGGTGTGAACTATTTCGTTGACTGGTCGAGAGGCTCCTATGAGTTTCACCGAATCTCTATCCGATGACAAAGCTTTAGGAATAACTATAGAAGGCACACTCTTTAAAGGTGCTGCGACAGCTTTTTGAGTGACGGCTGGCTTATCGTTGGTCCTGATATATTTAGGGGAGGGTTCAGAATCAGAAAATAAATATCCATCCAAAGAGTTCGTCTCGGCTACGTTGTCGAAAATGCGATCTGGAACCCCAGATGAAGGCTTCGATGCATGCGGCGTCAAAGTTGGTGCGATAATTATTCTTGCTGGAAAAACAGACTTCAAGGTGGTAAGTGGCGTAGCAGTGGTAGAAGGGAAGTTTTCCGCATGAGACTTCTTTTTTGGTTTTCCCATCAAATACCTAACTGCAGTGGGTAAACGGAAGCGTTTGGTGGTAGTTGGTCGTGTGGTTGTTGTGGTCATTGGAGCCTCAGTTGGTTTAGTATATCTGAAACCTTTCATTATCGTTACTGGTGGTGGAGTTGTTGTAGGTGTTGGTGGTGGTTCTGTCACGTTGATGTGTCTGAATATTTGTAACAATTCTGATAAGCTATTGGCTGCTAAAGTTTTCGAGGAGTTTTCGCCTTTGTTCGGCAAGTTTCTTGAGGGAGATTTGCCAATAAGTGTCCTATCATTCTCGTCATTTTTGTCAAAGTAATCTTCGAGATCTTCCCTGTCAATTTTTTGTCGAGATCGTGCAAATATAACCGTCCCAATCGGCGCTGATGCAGAGGATTCCACTTGGTCTCTTGATCCTTCAGTCATATTTGGTGGGACAATTTCTTCTATCACAGAGTCTCCCGCAGGGAGCCCTGAGCGTTTAGAATGCACTTCCAGTGGGATTTGGGTGAAACTTCCAAATAAACCCTGAAGTGAACTCAAGAAAGGTAATCTTGCCAGGCTCAAGCGTGCTTGAAGGAGTTGCTGCGGCGTGATATTAGTTGGAAGCATCGCCCGCCCACTGGCTTCCAATTGACGCTCCGGAGCAGAAGCCTTGCGGGGCAGCAATCGCAATAGCGGACTTGGTATCACAACTTCTTGGTTATTTTCCGAAAAAGCCGAGTCCAAGTCCACAGTGAAATTATCGAAGACATTAGGAAATTGAAAATTGGTAACATCATAGTTTGGTCCATTGTTTGACAAATTTATAAGGTCGAGAGGGCTGGCTGGAGATCTCTTTATCAAGTCACTGCCTTGAATGTTGTCAAGGCGTTTAACGAGCTTCACAACCCTTGCGTTGCCGACCGGTTTAAATGCACTTATAGTTTTACTTTTGGGTTCTATGTGAACATATTCGATTTTCTCGGTGCCATACACTTCGTCCAGTTCAGGTTCTTTTTTGTTTTCCCTTAAAACGTACACAGGTGGATTTTCAGGGACGATAGGATACAACGGTTTTTTAGGAGGTGGATCTTTGCCGAAATGAACTTTCTGTAAAGAAGGCGGTTTGTATGACACAGTTGGCTGATTGTTCAAAGGATTGCTCAAATCGACAGGATTCCAACCTGAGTACTGAATAAGTCTCGCCAATCGGTTCTTCGTCCCAGATTCTGCAGAGCTGGTGGATTGGTTATCTCTTTTGCTACGAACCTTGCTGCCGCGTCGTCGTCGGACGATTGATGAACCTCCGGTTGTGTCTGGAATGGTAATATCAATGTAGTAAATTTTAGTTTTTTCATCATCTAAACCTCTATCTTCATCTACGACACGATCTTCCGAAAGTAGTGAAGATGAAGAGTAAGAAAATGGGTCTGAAGTCTCATTCGGTTGTTCATGCAACGATGGTGATGGATGTGCTTGAGAAATTAAAGTAGAGGGTGTTGGTTTGTGATCGATTTCATAGGCATTAATTAAATTGAGGGGCGACTTTGAAATTACTTCAGAATCATGTTGGTCAGATAATAACGAAAATGGTGCATAGAATGGATGATCATGATCAGGGCTTTTTTGGCTTGAAAATATATTACTCATATAAGGCTTAACCAGAGGATGCTTTTTATGTCGCAAAAGAATATTTGCGTAATGCGGCGGCAGAAGTCTCTTAGCAGTAGCGTATATATGCTCGAGTTGAGCAATATTTTCCATATTAAAAACATTTGGATCGTTAAAATTACTTTCTTGAGCCATCATGTAATCATTATCCCAAACAGCTTCATCAATTAATTTTTCATCAAAATTGAAGTTTGAGTTTGGCCTGACATGATTTGGGAATGTAAAAGGAGACCGTGTCAGAGGATTTAATCTATAATGCTGGCTTCGAAGATCTTGTGCCTGATTAAACGATTTTTGACGGTTTAGCGATCGCAACTGGTGGTCAATTGCAGGATCTAAATTCATCATCGTTAAAGGAAACATTTTACTCTTATTTTGCTTGAATAATTCATTATTGACAGAGGATGGCTGACGTGGTGCAGTTTCAACGATATCTAATTCAGATCTGAATTTTTCATCTCTAGTTTCCTTCATTTTTATTTCTGACGACGTTTTTTGGAACATGTTTTCCAATGATATTGTCGGGACATCATTTTTTATGCTGTCTTCGTCCACGGGTAAAATTCCTATGTTACCGTCAGACATCAGACTTATTTCAAAAACAGGGCTTTTTCCTGACTCGGTTGGAATTTTAATGTTGAGAATTTTGTCTATTTTGCTAGTTTTTCCTTGATCCATCATCTTGTGCTTATTCCCAATTTGTGGTGTTTTCTTCGTATGGATCACGTCAAAGTTATCAAACATTGTAATGCCATTCTCGCTGCTGTTCGAATTGCCTTCAAAATCTTTCCCGAATGTCACCTCGTTCGAGAAAGGAGGAAATTGTCCGAACCCCGTCAAGTCGGGAGCTGACAGAGTGGTTGGAGTACTCAGAGTAGTGAATCCATCAAATCCATCGTCTAAAGGCAAACGAACTATAGGATCGCCGAAGCTTTGAGTTTGAAACCGAAGAGGTTCCGGAGGGACAAAATTATGAGGCTGCTGTTCGAAGGTTTGTAAGCCGGAATTGAAATTAAGCGCTGGATCTTGGAATGGCATTGATAGGGCAGGAGAAAAGGAGGAACTTATTGGACTGAATGCCGGCGTATTAAAACTTTGTGCAGGTGGTTGGAAACTCTGCCTGGGAGAGAACGCATTCATTATCATCCTTAGCGGTGCTCGAGGTTGTACGTTCATACTGGAATAAAATTCGCGGACCGGTTCCATTTTTTGATTGAACATGTTTCTCATTCCATTGTATGATTCCATTATGTATGGGAATGGATTTGCTACTTGAATGAGAGATGTAAGCAAATCATCGCGCGGGGTTTCTAGTTTCATCATTGGCACCGGAAGGAATCTATCATTGAACCGAATCATTGCTTCAAGAGGACCAAACACCGATTGCGAATCACTTGACATTCGTCTATTCTCTTGATTTTCGTTTTGGTTGAATAACGAACGTGCGCGAAGGACATCACTGTTACGGCTACGACCTCTAATATCAAGGCATCTCGTTGCCTTCTGGCCTCGCTCTTCAATTTTTGCATCAGCTTTAAGTATAACATTTGCAGCGACATTCTTATCTCTAGTTTCGATTGGGCTATTGTTTAGTACGACCTTATCGGAAGAATCGTTAGCATACAAATTTTCATCACAATCGTTAATAGTATCATCAGGCTCATACATTGAGTTACTTTCGGAAGTTATGTACCGTCGTTCGGCGTTAAATTTTTCGTTTCTTCTAGTTTCGTTTACATTTAGATCATCATTATGAGACCCATGCTCATTAGTGCTGTTTAATAGAAGTGAACCGTTTAATATAAGAGAATCATGCTCATGCTGAGTTAATAATTTTATTACCTCATTATTCACATGCATTGACTGGCTAGTGTTAGAGGAATTTATTGCATGTTGCGCAAGTGAAGCGTTTTTAAATTCATTCAGAGCAGGGAAAATTGTTGCGAAAAGTGTGTGCCAGTCAACTACCTGAAAGAACTGAAGAACTTTAAGAAATTCCTGAAAACTGACAGCATTATTTGAATTCCATGCCTCGTTGTGGCCATTATTCATTTGGCTCTCATTGGAAGTTCGACTGCCTTCTTTATTTTGCAATGTAGATCGAAAAGAGGGAATTCCAAAATGCCTAAGTAAATTGGAAGAATCATTATTAGGGAAAATGTTATTATTTTCAATATTGAAAGAACCGAGATGTTTTAGATATTCTTCCAAGCTTCCGTTTCTCATGTTGTTAACTATGACTTCTTTTGTAGATAAACGCAATGTTATTTCTTCATCACTGTATTTTTTTCGTGAACTTGGCAAAGTGGAATTAGCCGCCGCATCCTTACTGGCATTAGAAGAATTAGTTCCAATATTTTGATAATTAAATCTTGTTCCCTTGTTAGAATTAGCAATACTATTACTTGGATTTTTCTTTCCAGATAACTCATTTTGGACTGTCAAAGTTTGGCTCAAATTTTGATGCGTCAATGTAGGCAACAAGCTCTGAAACTTAGGCGGGAGAGGTGACCTCGGATCATTCAAGTCATTTACGTCGAAGTTAATGACAGGTTTTAAGCGTGAAGTAGAACCTCTTAAAGAAGGTTGGTTTGTTACGATTGGATTCAAGCTGCGATTGTAAGATGATAGCTCATTATTTGTTTTAGTATCATAATTTAATAGTGAGGAAGAGCGGGGATTTAGTTGATCAGATGCAGGTTTAATGGCGTTAATTGATGCAGAAGCAACAATCTGAATGGCTTTGCTTGCCAATTCATCAGTACCTTTCTTATAAATGTCCCCATTTCCAATTGTAGATTTTTCTGACGTACTTCGGTTCTGATGTTTGTGCTCAATGTTCGCAATATTGTCGTTTAAAGAATTAATATCGGGCAGATTTCTGGCTCTTGAATTTCCTGGTGCAAAATTTGTATCTCCTGAAGATGCGAACGTCGCACCAGCGAGCGCCACCACCAGCCCCACCGCCGCTAGAAGCCAGCGATGTCTCATCTGAAAAACGTCAAGAAGTTAGATAATGATAGATTATGGTCGGCCAGCCATAATTTATTTATGAACGCAATTGACCTGCACAAATTTCGACAATCAACTTCAGCATTGAAATTTGGCTTATCAAATGTAATTTGATTTCATTCACGAACTTTATCATTTCTCAAAATCAGACTTTATTCATATTAGCAGGATTATGATTGTGGAAAGATGAGTTTATTCGCATGTTTTTAATTCCCAATAACATACAAAACTATACCCGCTAAAGTTTTGATTGAAGCGATAACCAAATTTCAAAATATCCTTTCAGCATTTGCCGTTTCATAGCAAAGAAATGTTGTTTATTGGTCTGTCTCTTACTGCGCTCTTTCTTCACATTCATATATGCATCTGCGCCTTAGTTTTGGAAACATTCTCTTTCATCTTAAACATTTCGTTATTTTCGACGCTGCTAACAATTTTCTTCAATAGACAAAGTGTTTAATTATCTTGATCTTCAGCTCAAACTTTTTTTACGCCCCTCTCTTTCTAACGTCTTCCATCTGTCGGCAGAAGGCCGCGTTGACCGCTTCCAGCGCTTTCGTTTTCGCTTGCTAAAAAGGAACTCTAATGCCTTGTGCATTTTTTTCGTGGCAGCTAATGTAATGCCAAGCAATTAAGAGCTTCAACTATTTACAGGCATGCCAAAACCATTAGGCTTTCCGAGAATTATATCTCGTTTTTCTCGCAACTCGAGATGCGGAACTAAATCGACGGAAAATAAGTTAATGCCTATATACATATTTAAATTAAGCCAAAATAAAATTATTGGTCTATGGTGGGAATCTTCACGAAGCAGAATAGGCAAGAAAATTGCTTTCGAACCCTTGATTTCTTTCTGATCGAGTTTGTCCTATTAAAATGAAAAATTCCTTAACAAGGGAATTAATGCGAAAAAATACATGAGAAAATATTTTAGAAAATTATCTATTGATTTTGTGAGTTATCTCAGGATTTAGGGTAATAATTTGGTTGGTGCAACCCTTTCAGGAACTTTGATGTCGGGGTAAAATACTTGTTGCAGGGCAAATGATCTGGTATACGGTTCAGTTCATATACAAAGGCAACACCAGCTTAAAAAATAATCTCCCATATGTTAGATAAAGTATATATATAAGTGATCGTGAATTTTGTTTATTTTTATTATTCTGCATTGCACCACTAAAATTTAATTTCATGTTGGAAAGATTTTATTCTTCATTCTCATGAATATTAACGCGATTGTGAATATAGATCTGAAATCTATGAAATCGTTAATTTTTCGTTAGAACTTCCTTATATCGAAATTTCAGTTTCCTAATTTTCAAATCTCATTTCTACATAGAAGATTAAATCTCTTCGGTTTTTCTCGGTTTGTTGTTTCTATTACAAATCTCTGGCCCGCATATGAGCGTTCCATAACCTATCCTTTAACTGCATTCATGATTACCTTCATTACACTAACGGATTCTCTCCCTCATAAAAGCCATAATAAAGGACAGTTAAACTTGCATTGTTTTTGTGGATATATTTAAGGCTACGACCTCTTGTTCTCGCCCATACGGAATACCTCAATTGCCTGCTAACTTGTACTGGGGAAAAGGCGGCACGCTGCGCAGGTAGCAAAACGTTACAACTACAACGGTAACGGCTATTGCATAAAAATATAACTCAGTACTCACTGCAGTGAGTGACAGAGAGCGCATTTTCTCGTCGACGAAAACTTGTGGTCACGGACGGACAGACAGATAGACGGACATGGCGAGCACAATAGTGCATTTTTTCCATAAATGAGAAAATGCGCTAAAAATACCATGCACGCTGTTAATTTTAAAAGTTGGTTTGGCCGCTAGTGCTTTATTTGTTAAAATACTTTTTGGTTCATTATTTTAAGTATTAGGACACTCATCGCGTATGACTGGATTTTGAGCTTTGAATTTATTATTCGAGGTTCAAGAAAAAATTTGTTTGAATAATGAAAAATTACGTGAAATTTACTTCAAAACCTATAAGAAAACTAAATCTTTCTTTTTTCATGAATATCACAAATTCTACAGATGCAACAAATTCGAGGAAAAAGTATCCTCAGATCAAACAATTTATTTATTCTCCGTTTGAAAACACACTCGAATGTTGAAATATTGTATTTGATATTTCAAGGGCCTACTTGTAGAGTTTGGCCTCGCAGTTAATTCGTTGAAACTTAACGCAGCAGACGCGTTCACGGAAGCATTTAGCGCACGCATGACACTCGTGGTGCTGCGTGAGAACGAACACTGAGCGCATTCCAACCCTCGATCGTAGTCCTCAAAAGTTTTCCGCCTTTTTAGTGCATTTTCTCATTTATTGGAAAAATGCACTATTGCGCTCGCCATGTCCGTCTGTCTGTCCGTCTGTCTGTCTGTCCGTCCGTGACTTAAAGTTTTCGTCGACGAGAAAATGCGCTCTCTGCCACTCACTGCAGTGAGTACTGAGTTATATTTTTTCCCCTTAAATGAATTTATTTTCAGTTGTTACGAACGCGTTTTGTATTAATTATCACATTAAATTCAGGCATGAGCATATCAACTTATTTTTTTTGGAAAACACTTTACAAGCTCAAACGTAGATTGGAGCAAATTGAATATTTTACAAGATGTATAGTAATACATTTCTTGTCATAAATCACATAATACGTATGCTCTGAAGCTGGAGATTCAAACGTATTCTTCGAATTGGCATATAAGCGAGTTCAAATCCAGTAATGAGTTGGAGTGTTGAAAAATTAATTTCAACGTGGATTTTCATTGAGGAAATAATATTCACTAAATTTTTCCAGTGAAGTGCATCTGCAGGGAGATGCTGCTCCGCGAATTTTCCACATTTTCAAAATTAGGAACGCGTGATAATTGAATTTGAATACGTGAGTAACCATAAATAATTGAATATATTTAATACATAGAATATGTGTAAACTTTCAAGATTTGGTAATTATTGACACAAGCAAGATTTTCGGTAGCAGTTATTATCACTGTTGTTATTGCTGGCACGAGTTGGTGGCTGAGTCTTGATAAGAACAAAGGTCAAAGCGGCTCTCATGCATCATAGCGACACGCAGCATCATGCTAATGCATCATAGCGACACGCAGCATCATGCTAATGCATCATAGCGACACGCAGCATCATGCTAATGCATCATAGCGACACGCAGCATCATGCTAATGCATCATAGCGATACGCAGCATCATGCTAATGCATCATAGCGATACGCAGCATCATGCTAATGCATCATAGCGCCATCATGCTGTTATACACCAGCTTAATGTAGGCAGCTTCACGGAGCCTATATCGCGCGCTACATCTGAGACGCTGAAAATCCGTGCACGCTAATTATTTGTTATTCAGGCATCACATTTCATGGTGCTACGCGCGTAATGTTATACACGAATATTATTTAATTAATTCATTATGGTGACTATTGAAATTCAAGAGGCTCCTGATCATCAAACTACTGGATTTTGTTCTCGATTTTGATATGAAGTTTTTCAAGAGCTAAGATCCTTCTGGGATGTTCAAAATTTTGCGATCATATGTGGCAGATATTTCCTGTTGCCCAGAAATATTTTGTTACCCCATGCTGATATTTTGAGTCCAGACAACCGATAATATTCAGTAATTTGCCACTTATCAAAAACCACCGTTTATATTCCGTATATATTTTTTCTATTTGAAGTTTAACTCACGAAGTTGGTCGCTGTAGTTCATGTTGTGTGATCTTTCTTGGCATTATTTTTTACATAAGGGTTTTATTGAAAGTTAAATGTAATTACTACCTGACTCGGTTCTTCCTAACCTCTTGCATACGAGCGTAAACGAGGAAATAACCTGCACCCTTGACTTTTCGAGTGGCAAAATTTTTAATTAGGTTCAATGTTGCAACTTTTTTGTTGTATTTATCACCTGCTACAAATGGTAAAGCACGTACGGCTGTAGAGGTAAACTGTCCATTTTCAAGACAGTTTAATTATATTTATGATATTTAAAGTTTACATTTCCGTAATTCACTTAAATTTGTTTCAGTGGCATGAAGAATAATATTATTCTAAAGCTTGAACTAAATCACCTAGCTCCTGAATCACAAATAATTTCGTTGAAATTATGCAACCTCTTCCGTCGTGTTATAATTTAAACGTTCCATTTTATCACAGGTATTTGAGGTGTCATTTATTCGTAATATTTTCATCCTGCTCAGACGGCCGTCCTATCTTCAATAGCTATTGAAAATAGGTATTTCTACACGTAAACTACGTTAAAAGATTGAAGCCGATACAACTACAGTTTTCAAATAGACTATAGCTAGACTTACCAATGCTTGAATTTCACGTTCATGTCATTGCCTGGCGTTTACACCAGCGTTGTATATTTAAGTTATTTGAATGCCATTCCAGCATTCCTGTCACACGAACTAAACGTAAAATTTACTAAAGAATTTAGGGCTGATAAGATCTACTCATACAATTGCCTCGTTGCGCTCCAGTTTGCTCCACCCAGCCGAACAGACAAAAAGTATAATTTATTTGCCTCTGCCATGCAGTGACAATTTAAATAAGTGATCCTTGTGCTGTATTGAAATATTTTCCAATGAGAAGTTTAATAAACTGTGTGGGAACATAAACACTTTAGGCGCCTTGTAATGTATATTAATAAAATGCAAGCCTTAGCCCATGCGCAGCCAACTGATGTTTTAACAAAGGTTCATAAAAAATTTTAAATTAAATTTCCGGATCGTTTAGGTAGAACATAAGTAAATTAAGATTTAGCAGGCAAGTTTTTTTCTATTTAATATGGAAACAGGATGGACGGTATTTTCTATTTTCGTGTAAAAACGTGCAGATGCAAAACATTTAAACTAAAATCATCCTGAATGTTCTACATAAACTATAATGGAATCAATGTACAGTGAAACCTCTATTTTCCCCTGAACAACCATGTAGTCTCTCAGTGTCGTAATAATCTGTATAAATAAGACTGGGGAATGTAATTCCACACTTGAAGTCTTGGATGGATAAAACTTAATTATGATTGGATTAGCCTCCGCCCGTCCCTCCCCACCGCTGCACATGCTCTAGGCATCGGAAAATAATTTATTCGGTGCAACCAAGCTAGAATCGCTCACCAATTATGTATTACAGTATTTTTTTCGTATTCGTTGATCAGAAAGGTGAGAGGTTAGCGGCAGAGGTTACGGCCAGGAATTTGATCCTTTGAGGCTGGAAATATCTACGCAGATACAAATTCCTGCCTCGCAATACTGTCTTTGTACAGGACGCATCTTTTACGTTTCATTCTTTCATTAGATAGAATAAGATATGTCCAAAATTTCTATATTCCAAGTTCGGTTTCTTTTTCTACCACATTTAAAGTTATTTCGCCACAATTTAAGCCCGTCCACATAGAATTAATTCGTCACGTTACCGTTTGAAGCTCCTAAAATTTGAGGATCGTTCTGCGTAGTTCCTGTTTTGCGTGAATCTATTGCCCGGACAAAGCAAATTCTACGCGTCTTATCAGGCTACGAGAAGAGACCGAACAATGGCTTGTTTCGTACGGGATTTTACCGCGCATTTTCTTCCGGGACGAATTCCGTGGGTACCGAAGGGATAAAACTTCATGGAAAGACTTTTGCGGTGCATGAATATGTAACATGATTCGTTAAAATAATGTTGATTAGATGCTATAGCAACTAAATGATCTCGTAATTAAGGTTACTTCAACATCAGTTGCTTGTGGTGTTCAGTATACCCAATACCCATGTTACTCATACATAGCTTTGTTGATTTTATATTCTTCGGCACCACAAGCAAGTCAATAAATATGTTGATTATATATATAGAAGTCGATTATCAGGTCAGATGATAATTTCACATTCATCTTTGGATTATATTACTCCCGAGAAATAAATCTTCCGAGTATCAGATTGTGTTTGTGATAAAATAGGGTGTAATACATAAAAATTAGCTTCTATTATTGCATTATTTCGCGAAAAGCTACTGAATCTCGCGAATCTGATGAATCAATGTGTGATTGCTGTGCATTGACTAAGCTCGATCAAGTATTTATATACAATATTTAAATTTCAATTAACTAACATTCAAACACCGTTTATTCAATTGGAGAGTTTGAACATCCAAACAACGTTTATTCAATTGGAGAGTATTCAACGTTTTTGAAGCCTGTTACTATAGCATAGGTCTTATAATTTCGCAGCACATTGAGGCGCGGGTATACAGACCACAACGGTATACCTCTCAATGCTTTAGGACGATAGCGCAAGATTAACTCACTTAGATCACAGCCTGCATTATTGCATCCCTGGCCTATAGACCTTCGAATGGTGTTCGCTGCATAGCCGCTATCATGATACTCGTGTACAATGATAGCGGTACGCTTCATGTTGAGAGATCATAGTTCGAGTCTTGTAATCTCTTTAAGCGGGTAAGCTCTTCATGGTTCATTTTGTTAGCTTAGAGAGTCGAACCATTAGAAGGAAGGTAGGCTTTGTTGTGGCTGAACACTAAATTAGATTCTTGAAATATCAGGAATATTGAATATATAAATGAAATATGAGAGTCATCGTGTCTATAAGCAGTATTAAAAAATAGTTTGACGCATAATTTGTTACTGAAGTATTTCTACCGGTCGCTCTTCACGTATTATCAACAAGCTACTTAATAATCGCAACGTAATAATAATAAAAACTGCTCAGCTTCGCCTGGCTGAGGCCATGTTATGAGCGAGGCAGGATTATTCAGCAGACACGTGACTATATCAACTATCATCGTTCATCGTCTACAAAAAATTGAATATCTAAAGCTTTTGCAAGAGAAGAAGTTCTTTGGTCGACAAATATTATGCCGGTTTCAAGAGACAGTTATTGAATTTTTTTTACACATATTCTTCTTACTTAGTTCCTTCACTCAACCTCAAATAAAATATCATCAATCCGCTTTGTAATTTATCGTTAATTATGCTCGTTATTTCAATTCAAAAGGAAGTCTGACACTAAATGATGTCGACGACGCTTGGTATAGCGGTCTCCCCTTCGCGCGAGGGTAATTACAAGCCTTCGATGTTGAAAAATAGCGCCGCCAGTGAGGGCTAGGCAGGTACGGACAAACCGGTGCCCTCGCTCTGATCTTATGTACGTGAGGCTGACGTAATTAAGATCTGAATAACATTAAAAGCCCGCTTTACTCACATTTATTTGCTTAAAGGATATATCGCGCCTGATCCTGACACACAAGATGTCGAAAACAAATAATCTTGCAGTCAATATTATGACAAGCTTGATCTCTGCTTGCATCCAAGTTACAGGAAGGAAAGATCCCGAAAATTAAAAGTCCCAAAATTTTAGATCCCGACACCTAAAATAATGATGAACATCATCCATTGTATGACCAAAAACCATTATCGTGACACTCAAGCTTGTGAAACTATAGATTATATCAAGACAATTAAGATTGCTTTTATCCTTTCGTTCATTAAAAACCAAGATCCCGACAAACATGAACCCGACATATAAGATCCTGACAGACAAGATCCCGTCGAACATGATCCCGAAATCCGATATCTTGATGAACATGATCCATACACACAAGATTTTGACAGACATTACACCGGCAGCCAAGATCTCTACGAACATGATCCCAACAGCCAAGATCCCGACAAGAATGAACCCTAAACATAAGATCCTGACAGCCAAGATCCCATCAAACATGATCCCGGAATCCGATATCTTGATGAACATGGTCCCTACACACAAGATTTTGACAGACATTATAGCGACAGCTAAGATCTTTTCAAACATGATCCCGAAATCGAATATCTTGACGAACATGATCACGATGCTCAATATCATGACAGACGTTATCCCAACAGACAAGATCATCACAAACGTGATCCCGAACGCCAAGATCACAACCTTAAGATCCTGCCAGTCAAGATCCCGCATCCGTTACCTTAAAAGGTCGCCCGTCGTTCGCAGGCGCTCAGGGTCACGGAACATCTTCGTTTCTTTTCCATTCCGTGACGTTAAGGTCAAATAATTAAAAAGTTTGAAAGAAAAATTTTTACGATTTAAACTCTGTGGAGCGTTATGGAGCTGTTGCTGATCGTTTCGCATCACGATCTTGTCATTAACATTCCTTAATTGCGTCTCTTTAATTATTAAATGCCGCAGAAAACTACCTTGAGAATGATAATTTGCGTTGATGACCACGAACCTCAAAAATGACCTGCGTTGTATTGGTGCCCGAAGATATCATCTCAGGATCTCTGTTTTATCGCCAGCGTCCCATTGGTTTTGAAGGGCAAATCACGAGGAAAAGCGAACCGCCTGCATATTAAATCGATCATCAAGCTAAATTGTTCGAGATAATAATATGATAACCATGAATATCACATTATGGTTTTTATCGTTATGATGTAGCGACAAGACACATTTGTGTTCCTCATCTAACCTCGTATCAGTGTAAGCGTTTTTCGGCCAAAAATAAAAATTCTTATTTTTTTTTTATTTGAAATCAAACAAAAACATTCGAGCGGAAATTTAAAGAAACTTGCAGTGATAAGTCGTATAGAATTGATCTGACGAGGAGCAGACTTCATACCTTGATTCTATTTTGCTTTAGTCTGGCCACAATGTAGCGAACATTGAGGTCGCATCCTGTAGGATCTTCGATGACTTCAAGGTCTCCTGAACCAGACTCGCTCGGATGAGAAGACCTTGTAAAATTTCGATCTGAGGCCCATGCAATTTCCATGCCTGAGTTGCGGCACCGAATTTATTGCGATGCGAGATCTATGCTCACTTTATTCTATTTTTATTATTACTATTATTATTTTTACCATTAATTAAGAGATCGAGCATGCCCATTTGGCGTGAAGCCACAATAACTCGCGTACTGCAAATAAGGACTGCAAGCAAGTCATTTGCCATTTGTATTAATCAAAAATATAACTCAGTACTCACTGCAGTGAGTGCCAAATTAAGAGCGCATTTTCTCGTCGACGAAAACGTGAAGTCACGGACGGACAGACGGAGGGGCGGACATGGCGCGCACAATGGCGCCTTTTTCTCCATAGTTGAGAAAAATGCGCTAAAAAGCAGATAGTCAAAGTAGTGGAGGAATTTAATCAATTCAAAGGATGTTGAGTTCAAAATATTGCAAATACTTTACACGTATTGTACGAAAAACACCTTCAATTTAAAACAATGTTTGATACTATCATCATATTTTCAAAAATAGAGCATTAATTTAGTACTCAATGCAACGATAATGCAGGGAATAATTTTCCTGGATTTATTGTTTAACATCTATGTATATTATATCAATTATTATGTGCTAAGATACAACTAAATATACGAACTTTTGTCTTCCTTGACAGTTTTAAAGACTTAAAAACTACGTACAATCCTAATTTTCCTTACTTTTTTGAAGCAAATATTAACATTTCTAAAGTGTGTCCTACAATTATGCTAACGCGATTTACGAGAACGTGTGGGCAACCACAACCTGCAGCATAAATATACTTGTCACGAGGCTCAGCAAACTGCCGCGTCTGGCGACTAGTTGTCTCGTCTATCAGTCGCTATGCCACTAAACCATTACCAGTAACACGTGACAATTTCGCTCGACCACCGACAAAACTTTCATTGTTCGCCGGAATGGTCTAGCGGTGAAGCGGATGAAGTTCAGCTCCAAAGACGACTGCTTTCGAAAAATGCATTGAGCTTGGGTCTAATAGTTTAATTATCACATAGTCCTAATCCTTTTGTATCCTGCATTTTAAGCATCCTGCATATTAAGGATCTTGCATTTTAAGTATCCTGCATTTGAAGTATCTTGCATTTTAAGTATCCTGCTTACTAAATGTTTCGGTGTCTGATCAAAAAACTATTTCGCATTTTAATTTATCTGCGTAAAGTTTAGGAATGCTCGCAAGTTCTATCCCGCCATTTCAAGCAAACTGTTGAATCTGTCGCCGGCAAGATGAGTGATGCAATTTACGTGAGCCAAGAAAGTGCGTCCGTTGCATTCGAGAAGAAAAGAAAGTTTTTCTTTCTTCGTAAGCTGAATTGACACACGGCTTAATTTGAAGTTCGTCGTTCAAATTTCTTCGCCTTGGAAAGGAAAGTGATTTCCTGGATCAATCTGTCTAACAGAGCCTAATTCGTCTTTCTAGAACTTTCCCAACTTTTAATGCAGCTCATGTCTCATTCCAAGTTTCAAGTTTAAAATTTACCTGCCGAGGTGATTGATATGAGACAAGGATAAATGCTAGCTGGGAAGAATTATTGAAGATTCATTGTGAATATCAGAATATCAATAATTAATTTTGCCTCTATAATAAATTTGGAGCATTTATTTCTAGATTATAGCACCTGAATCTGCATGTTGCTCAACGAGAATATTGTTCTTGATTTTACTACTATTACTGATATTTTTGCCTCTGTCAGATTCCATTGAAAAAAATTCGTTTCTTTGGTTTTACACATAAATAACGACGTCGAGTTTGCGTGGCCAGAGCATCGTCCCGATTGCCCGGATCGTCGACAACTTCGGACTTTTTCCGAGGAAAGGATCGGAGGCATCAGCGGCTGTCAAAATTAACCGCGTTACGAAACCTCGAGTTGCTGGACTTTCTTCTCGTACGAGCGACTGAAGTTGCGAGTGAAGCTAGAACTTTCACGTGTAATAAACTGTCTGGATTAGCATGGGTCTAATAAAAATCGTTCAAGCATTGAAAATGCGTATTTTGTAGGAAATCTGTTGAATCTTCATTTAAAAACTTAATCACTTAATCATTTAAATTTGCTGCATGACATAACTAATGTCGCAGATGCATCGTGATCACTGTTATACAATATCCATCATCGTACATTATCTGTAAGATTGGTAGGCTTAAACTTAATGGAAAAGCCTTAAAATTATTCGCAATCCAATTTAATCGACAATCAAATCGAACATTCCTAACCAGTGTTTCGGAAGTGACCGTATGGATTCCGACACATCAAACTCAAGCCTAAGAAACGCTGTAACTTTCACTAGATTCTGTTGTTATTCCCGTAGAGGAAATAAACACAATTTCCCCAGTCATGGTTTTCCTGTCAAACTTCCGCAGCAAGTCGGGAAAAATGACGAGATTAGAGAACAGGCAGCGCATACAAGCTGCTTGTAGCGCCGCATTGTAATGTTGACGTAACATGAGCTTTGCCTTCTGTTGATTTATCGTTGATTGTTATGCGAGTGATCTACGGATTGGTATATTTACTGACTTTTTATTCAAAACTGTTTTGGGCATTGAAAACCCTCGTCCCACTTCAAAGTCCATCGTTTTGTCGTTTAATCAAAATCCAAATTGCAAAATAAAATACTTCAAGGTCTCAATTAAAGTCTTATTAATCAAGTTTTATTAATGACTCATTGACCGAATAATTACAGTGAAATGACCTCCCGTCCTTCCCGTGTTTCCCCCTTAGCTTGTTTCTAGCTTTGCATCTGCCACGCCAACTTAAGTCGAAAAAACTTTTCATAAGTTCCCACGACGATAGCCGCCTCGTCACAATGGCCTCAGTTACGAAACGTAGAGCTTTGTTGAGCAGCTGCTAACGGAGTGATGCATGCGTAGTTCCTTTAATTTAAATGCATTCAAAACCTCGAGTTCATGAAAACGTAAATTTAAACTGTAATGACATTGAAACTTTTGTCGCTGCATGACGATATCTTAAGACTCGCCGGGCTGGAGTATGACAGAAACTTTGATAATTGTTTCTAATTTGTTCAATAGAAATATCGACGTGTTCAGCCCGAATATGTTAAATTTGTCGGTGACGTATCTAGACTACGTCACACTTTTCATACTTCCACGGGACTTGTATGTGAGAGATGCGTATGAGAAGCAGAGATGTAGTGCAGAGATTGTTTAATGTCTGGCAATAGTTAGATGATAGAGCTGAAATATGTCATACCTGGATGAAATTTGCTCCTAAAGGGATAGAAAGGAATAGAAAATAGTGCAGTTGTAGTAGGGCAATACCAACATTTCTGCATTCCTTACAGTTATGATGGCATTGTTTCAGTCGGTCTTGCGTATTATTCTTATACCCGTTGCCCTAACAGTCGGACTACCGTATAATTCTCTACAGCCGCTGCCAAATAGTCGGCTCTGCGTATAATTCTCTACACCGACAGAATTCCGACAGTTGACCCAATTTATGATTGAGTCTGCTTTACGTATTATCGTCCACTATTAGACAGACGGAGTATAATGGCCGTACGTCGACCTCTAGGGTCGGGTTCGTAGCCCCGGTCGCGGCAGCTACGCAGACCTGCAGGCTGGGAATGATTTTACCGAAGAACTGACAGGTCTCAGGAGTCAAGGGCAGCGCGTCTGTCATTCCTCAGCAGCTCGCCATTGATGTCAGCTGCCTGAAGTGAACTCTATTGTTAGTCGATTTCCGATCGTAAGCGATATTTTAACGCAATCTCTATAGAAATGTGGTGGAAACTTTCGTCGTTGGAATAACATCCTGGCAATGGATGAGGTAAGGTTAATGATAGCGTCGTAGTACATAATGATTAAATTTACTTAGATAATCGCTGGTTTGTTTTGTGTAGGCTGTCAAACTTCATTATTATGAAATGTTACCATATGCAGTACAGACTTCCCAATCGTTATCATGTACAAATTTCCTAAGGGATAAGTTTGCTCTATTATCTACGCAGCCAATCGAAAAATTATCTGTCATGAAAAAACCCAAAACGCCGTTCAATTTCCGCCATAATCGCTCCTCCTAAATTTTTGGACAAATTTTTATTGTCTTAACTCAAAGTATACAAATTCTATACTTTTCCTCTGTTTGCTGGATCACTTGTTTTTCGGTGATAATACATTTAGTGTCCAGATGGTGTGGAATTATGAAGGATGTTGTAGCACCGCACGTTATTCCTTTTTTAGTTTGTTTCTGAAGCAGTCATGGAAATGTGAGCGGTTCAGACCTTGACTGAGACGCGTGAGAGCGAGGACAGCTCCAAGTCTCTGCACTTCAGTTCTTGCGTGACATCCTTCATATGTTCCCTCCTAGCCTGCCATGCTGCCCCATGCGGGCGTCGTTATACCCCTAGTATTTAATATTCAAAATTAAGACAATATTCAAGTTTGCTTGTACTGTAACAAAATGAGGCTCCAGCTTATGAAATTTCTACATAACATTAAATTTTTTATCTTGATCTTAACATTAAAACAGAGGTGAGTATTTTCGAATGTTTCAATTGTATAGCAAAGCCCAAAATTATTCGGGCTACTTTTGTTCAGGATTTAAAGACCCACAAGATTCAGTTTTAAAGGCTAGACCACGAATATAATCTCAATCTGATGTAAAGTCTTTTGCCTATTCATATAGACATTTTTGGTTTTCAATTTATATGAATGTATTGCTATGAAGTAAGTTGTGAATCTGAGATTCCACTGTAAGAGAACCTAACAGTTATATAAAGATTACAGTGTTGGGCTATAGTTTGGTCAGCGTGGTGGCTGTTCCACACTCATTTTTATGAATAGGTAAAATCATTATTCTAGTGCATCATGACAATTTCGATCCAGATTTCATGATCTCACCGTGTCGTTGGATCTCCTCTAGTTTCTCAGCCACTCGCGTAAGTAGACATCAGAATATCCGCCTGCGAGAAAAGGAATAAAATTAAAACAATTTTAAAGAACAGTTATAAAATTAAAATAATCCCAATTAAAAAACTGGCGACCTTAAGAAAACCCCAATGTTAACGCCCAAGAGGGCGTTATTGTTTGTAGGAAACTTGCGCTGGAAAAATATCTCCATTTATTTATAAGACCGCATTTAAATGTATTGAGCTGTCGATCTAAATTTAAATTACTTGCGTAGTTGTGTTAATGTTCATGATTATACTCCAGTACATGTGAATACATAAATTTGAACGAAAGTTGAATACCGCATTAAAATAGTTAAAATATTTCAAGGATTGTATGAACGATTTTACTAACTTCGTTGCCATCATCGTCGATTATTAATTGATTTTACCATACAAATTGCACATATTTTATCCAGCGCGAGGCGCGAAAGATTCAGCAGTTACTGCACGCTATATGTTAATAAATAATTAATTCAATGTAAACGTGGCATGACGGCTGTCATTGACTCACATTTCAGAAGCAACTTTTTCCAGTTTTCTACGCGGTCTTCTAATGTTTTGACCTGACCCTGTACTTTTGCAAAAAAGTGAAATTTCAACGATGGATGCAATGCATAAAAGCTGACCTCATCTGCATTAACCTTTACCTCGTATTTGCTACAAGATTCTGTATACTAATTCCAAAAACATTTCCATAATCTGTATATTTTCATGTGAGATAAAGACATTTTTTATAGGCTCATGATACAACACAACCTCACCAGTCAGGTGGACTGCTGTGGTTGGATTGCTCCATCATCGATGTGTTAATGAGGCTCTAATCGACTAACACATCACGTGTTAGTCGATTTTAAGTTTTTTTAGCAGAGCCGAATTGTTCTGTATTTCAATACAGTTATTCTACATGTCAGCTAATTCAAAACTTCAATTCCAAGACCTCATTAGTTGAGATCTCAAGCAATATTTTGTTTATAGTCTAGAAGTAAACATGGATAGCGCTTGCAGGGAACATTTTCATCGCTGAAGCCAAGCATCAGTACAGGAGAGAATGCAACTTATGAATCACCAATCATCGATACCTAATCATTTGGAATTGTTATGCAATTTTGAAAGTTTTCTAGGGAAAAATTCAATTTTGATGCTCACTGATGAACTCGTCCCTCGAGGTCAATGTCTTTCGCCCCGATGCTGAGGTCCGTCAGCTAGGTCACAGGAGGTTGTTTGCCAAAATAGGACAGCCATTAAGGGGCCGAGTTTTGAAACTATGATTGAATGCGAAACGAACGGACATGGAAATTTAGAATTCAAACACCTACTCACTGGGAACTCAGAATTAGCCAATTTTCAATTTTTAAATTTTGTTTTGTGAAATCATAATCCTACAATAGCTTGAACAATAATGCATAAATTGCACCATTAATTCCATATGAATAATTATTTTTTTATGGCTTTCGGAAACACAGCTTCATTAGGCTGTGTTCGGAAAAAGCCTAATGAAGCCAAACATATACTAAATTTGTATAATTTATTCATAATATACCGAATTTTTATCGCATTTTCTTCTCGTAGCGCACTAATGGAAGTTATAATATAGGATATCACAAATAATTAAAGTCTTGAGTCAAAAATGACAGGAACCCCAAATGACAGTTATCCGGAACTTTACGATTTCAAAATTGCCTTTTGCCACAAAACGTTGAAAAATGGCTCGTTTAAAGCAATAAACCGTTTTCATTATAGTCGGCGAAGCTCCCAGTACATCTGAGTAATAAAAAATTCATGATATCAAGCATATGGCGAGCTGGGAATTTAAGAACAATATGGGAAATATTTTTTCTGCCAGAAAGTTTCAATGGGTACAGTAAATTTACTCTCATTTCAGAGCTTCTTGAATGAAGTGAGCCAAACTTTGATGTAAATTAAAGCAAATAAAGTCAATGAATGTTGGTTAGGCCTGAATTAAGTGTTGCAAGTATAGTCCGTTATGCGAAGTCTATGCGACCCCTGGTGGGTCGGGTCGATGCGACCCCTGGTGGGTCGGGTCTATGCGACCCCTGATGGGTCGGGTCTATGTGACCCCTGGTGGGTCGGGTCTATGCGACCCCTGGTGGGTCGGGTCTATGCGACCCCTGGTGGGTCAGGTCTATGCGACCCCTGGTGGGTCGGGTCTATGCGACCCCTGATGAGTTGCTGAGAATCGGTCAGCGATTCTTAGGTCGGGTCGTGAGCTCGCCGGGGCAGCTGACTAACGTACGACGTCGTCTCTTGAATGCGGTTACGAAACGCTTATTCACGAGTTGATTCAGCCTGCGTCTAAGACCTTTTATAAATGCAGAAAAAAATTAATCTGCCTACTGAGGAGTCAAGGGAAACTTCATTGACTCTTCAATAAAGTTAGTGCGAAACATTCATATCTGGGAAGTGCAAGTTATAACGTACTTGAGGATGGATAAACATTAAACAAATATTATTTGTAATCTATCCCTTTGTGCTTTGCATGCAATTTTTTTCAAATTTAGTTGACCCATTTACATTTCAGTCCTGGGACTTGTAAATTACATTTTCAAGAATTATTTTGTTATCATGACCTATTGATTCATTTTTTATCCTCAATTCATCCTTCACTATTCGGTGAAGAAAAACTTTAAGTTTAATGGCGATATTAAAAATTAGTTCGCGTTCTCGGTGTAAATTTCTTTCTCATAAAGTTAAGTTAGTGGAGTAAAGATAATTAATGAACTTTGAGGTATATATTTACGGAAAACTCAGGAGAATTAAATTCGTAAACTTATGATGAAAAATAGAAAAAATTCAGTATTAGTTCCTAAACACACTCTTTAGAATCATCAATCATTGCCACGCAGTTCTTATCTAACTTCGTTGCAGGATGCTTCTGGAAACATTTCATAATATTGTGATTGGGAATATTACGGGCTTATCGCCTTTATCATCTTAAGGACATGGATGATTCACTTTTCACTGCAACTATTTTATTGCACCTTTTCACATTGCGTACAGCGTTGACAAGTTCAAGGGCTGAGTGCGTTGCGAGCTGCTATTGTTGTGGCATCGGCTCGTCGTGTGTGGCAAAACCAACACAATGAAATGAAAACATGAGATCTTATTATTTTATCAAATAAACACCGAAGAACCTAATAATTATTCTCAATGTAACCACACCTGCCGCAGTTGGAGCCCTCAAGTATCAAAGGAGCTTCAATGAACGGAATATATCACTAAGACATTTCAGGATTTTTCAGAGCATCGCTGATGAATAAGCCTCATCTGAGAAAGTAAATTGAATTAAAGATCGTCCCCAAGAAGAATTCAAGTTGCCAAGAAAGGAAGTCTAGTAAAAAGAAATTTTCCTGGGTGCTTCTATGAATTAATTTTGTCAGAAAACTATTTTGATTTATTTATGAATATTTTATTTCTTCAATTACTTTGCATCTGAAGTATCAAGAATTTTCAAACCACTACCAGCTCATAGCGACCTAAATAAAGTATGTTTCAATTAACAAACTCTTCATAAAACTTATAGATCTGAAAACTCTTCCATCCACATTCCATGATGTATTGAATTTTCTTGCTATATGTATTTATTGCCTCAAGCATTGTCCTAGAATTATCGACAAAAAAAAACTTTGAGCGGAAAATTTTCTCAGCGAACTGCATGCAAGCATTTTTTGTAGCTAAGCATAGACCGAGCCGTGAATGCATGAATGTGTTCCAGAACTTGCGGAAGACTTGCATTCACTTTCACTCTAAGATTCTGCCAAAAGCGCGTGGCATAACTTTGCCTTCCTGCATGACATACATAATACTCATGCATAATAATACTCATAGTATCCCCTGCCTCCCACATTCATAGTTTCTCTCATAACCATCTTTACTTTCTTGACACGAAAGTATCTTTTATTGCTGGCATGCAAGCCACATACTTACCTTGCCTGCTTGCCTGCAGGTCACATACCTTGCCTGCATGACTCATGCCCCGTATATCATGCCTGCTTGTCTGTAGGTCACATACCTTGCCTGCATGTCACATAGCCTGCCTGCTTGCCTGCAGGTCACATACATTGCCTGCTTGCCTGCCTATCACACACCCACCCTGACTGCTTGCCTTCAGGTCACATACCTTGCCTGCTTGCCTGCATGTCACATACAGCGCCTGCCTATCAAATAGCCTGCCTGCTTGCCTGCAGGTCACATACCTTGCCTGTGTCACCCATGTCGCATATTTTACCTTCTCACTGCTCCTCCTTTATTCATTGCTCGGCTGGTGTAGACGACACGCGCTGTCACTAACATTGTATCTTGTGGTTATTCAGGCTTTCATACCGATGCCCGTTGAGTATATATTCTTCATCTTTTCGTTTACTCGAGACACTAAACAGCTTTTTGAGGTCATTTTCTTCTCAAATATTTTTGAGTTTTGAATTACTTTTCATTGCGCGACAATTAATTCAGGAAATAACGTTGTAATGAAATTTACGATTTACAAGTCACGAACTAAAAATGAATATTACTAAAAATCATTTTAAATAATAAATAGTTTCAGATTTTTATTATATGAATACGTTTTGTCTATAGATAGTAAAGACTAAACACGTTACATGGGTTCGCTTGCTGATCTTTATAGGTTTTCCAACGTTTTGCTCGGGATCGCTCGTTTGGACGCGTTGAGGTCGCCACTGTGATGGCAACGGCAACATAAGACCAGAAGGCCCTACAATAAGAGTTGGACTAAATGGTGCAGGGACTACATTTTCGGTAGATGATATGTTTCAACAGCGTTGCTTATTTATTATGGGAGAAGGATTTTATAGCTTTAAATATACCTCATACACCAATGTCTTTACTGTTTAATTGGACATTTATCTGTTGCACTAAGCTGTGTTACTTTATATTTCCCTTATATTTACAAGGGTAATAATGTACTATGAATAATCTATTGAATTGATTACTTTTATGCTTCATACATTTATCTCGACTAGCCGAATTATTGAAGT